GTCACAACAGTGTCATAACCGTCACAACAGTGTCATAACCGTCACAACAGTGTCATAACCGTCACAACAGTGTCATAACAGTCACAACAGTGTCATAACCGTCACAACAGTGTCATAACCGTCACAACAGTGCCATAACCGTCACAACAGTGTCATAACCGTCACAACAGTGTCATAACCGTCACAACAGTGTCATAACCGTCACAACAGTGTCATAACCGTCACAACAGTGTCATAACCGTCACAACAGTGTCATAACCGTCACAACAGTGTCATAACCGTCACAACAGTGTCATAACCGTCACAACAGTGCCATAACCGTCACAACAGTGTCATAACCGTCACAACAGTGTCATAAAAATGTAACAAGCGTCCTTACAGTACATATCGTATTGTACTTGGGATGTTGAGCTTCAGGTCCTTGGGCCGTCTCTCAACCTTCAATGGCTTGGTGTTCAGGTTTCAGAAGCTCTGGAGCCTTGTCGTATCTATATGTGAAGCTGTGTATTGTGTCTTAACCTCTTCGCTTTTTATCATATTCCAAATGTTATCTATTAGGGCACTTAATTTTCTGATATGATGTCGTGAGAACAACAACAGCCAAGAGAGGAACAACAGCCAAGAGAGGAACAACAGCCAAGAGAAGAACAACAGCCAAGAGAGGAACAACAGCCAAGAGAGGAACAACAGCCAAGAGAGGAACAACAGCCAAGAGAGGAACAACAGCCAAGAGAGGAACAACAGCCAAGAGAAGAACAACAGCCAAGAGAGGAACAACAGCTAAGAGAGGAACAACAGCCAAGAGAAGAACAACAGCCAAGAGAGGAACAACAGCTAAGAGAGGAACAATAGTCAAGGTCAAACGACCAGCGAGTAACAGACGCCGCTTCGTCTGGTTACGAGCCGCGCCCGACCTCGTGATGAATATAAAAACAAGAAAAGAACCTGTGTAGCCTATCACAGCTGGGTGGGGGGGGAGTGGTTTGGCCGGGAGGTTGTCTAATATGGTGCTCGGCCAAGGTGCTGGTTGATCTATAAAATGCAAACTATGCTTGGTATAATGGTGAACTAGGGGTTGGGTACTCAGCTTCTGCGAGTGAATGATTTCTAACAAAAATGTGCCCTCGAAAGATGTTGCTTTTAGTACAGTCCTATTCTGCACGTATATTGTGAAAGTTCATTTTCTAGAATAGCACCCTTTTCTAGAAACTAGATATAGTATATGAATATTTAAGACACCAAGGTTCTAATTCGAGCCCATGTCCAGGGTTCCATGAGAATTTGCAAAAGCTTGCGGGGAAAAAAATGCAGTTTGCCCTCTTTTTGCAATTTATTAAAAATATTTAAATTATTAAGGTTTTATGATTATCTCTACCCTTAGGTGTTACGTTATTTAGATCAGTCTTTCTTCTGGTAGTGTCTGTTGCATTAGAAGTCGTAGATCGAACTTTGGGCATAGTTCTGGTTCAATTTAAAAATTTCCTGGGAACTTTTATTGACTTCTCTGAACACTTTCTTATCACTCTTTGTGTAGCCGCCTCTTTTGTGTTTAGCTTGATCACTTGCTCATTCACCGACATCTTCCTCCTCATGTAGCTTATAATAGGCTGATCCTTGACCTTGGGTGCTATATCATTCTCATTCTGCCTCTCTGCTGTTCTACGAGCTCCTATAATCCATTCCACTCTTGTATATATGTCGTGGTTCTCCATTGTTCTGTGCTTCCAGTATTTTCTCCAAGCTCTTTTACTTTTAGCCTCTAAGTATTGTCTATTAAGCCATGGGCAATATATTCTGTTGGCTCCTTTATCCCTCTGAGGTGATAGGAATCTTCTTTCAGCTTCTTTGCATTGGCTAGTTATGAAGTCCATCAAGCCTGGTGCTCTTATTATCTTAACTCTATTTCTCATGATATAGTTTAGACATTGTCTAACCTTTAGGTACTCGCCTTTATGGAAAGCTAGTCTTACATTTCCCTCTTTGGATTTGTTCATTTGATATATCACGCTATTGTGATTTCTGTGTGTATTTCCGTCTTGTCGTCCTGTTGCCGCAGCTTTGATAACAAGTACGTAATCAAAGATCAATACACAATAGTCACAGTGTTATTTCATGCTCAGTGTTTATTTCGCTCTGTGTGAAGACCTGGTCCAATCTTGCAGGCTGGTCTCCCCCTCGTCTTCGTCTTTCCTCCTTAATATGTTGTGTTAGGAAATGTCTTTCTACAACTTCTGCCTGTTTTGCTCTCCATGTTTCTTCACTTCTCGGCTCCCCTGATTCTCAGTCAATTTATATGTGTGTATTTACTATTTGTGTCTGTAGAATTGACCTATCACCTCTTGGACTCCGGCTTTCTAACCAGTCTATTTTTCCTCTATTATATCTATTACATATATATTTCTCTAACACGCACACACACATACATCCCCAGGAAGCAGCCCGTAGCAGCTGTCTAACTCCCAGGTACCTATTTACTGCCAGGTGAATAGGTGCATCAAGGTGAAAGGAACTCTGCCCATTTGTTTCCGCCTTCGCTGGGAATCTAACCCGGGACATTAAGACTACGACCCCCAAGCGCTATCCACTCAGCCATGTGGTGTGTGTGTGTACTCACCTAATTGTGCTTGCGGGGGTTGAGCTCTGGCTCTTTGGTCCCGCCTCTCAACTGTCAATCAACTGTGTGTTTGTGTGTGATCCAGACACCCAGACAGGTTTCCCATGAATACCGGTCCGTGGTAGTGGACCTCGTTTTCACAAACCTGTATATAAGATCAGGATGAGTTTGGATTAGACACTCAAAGCTGTTATATATCAGACACTGACTAGAGAGTGTGAGACTGAATAGTGTTAATAAAGTTCGGATTCTCTAGTGTAGACAGTACTAAAGGATTTCTCTTATTATTTTAGTACGACTTAAGTTCAATTCAAGGTCAAATGTGTTTATTGAGACAAGAAAAAAAAATACATTTCAAACGGATTGAATAGCTTAGGCTATTTCTGTCCCCCTAGTACAACTTAAGCACTTCCACGGGGTTGTTGCATTCCCGTTTGCCTTAAGTTAGTCTTAAGTTCTGTGATACCCTGCCTATTACTTGTCTTTTGTTCTCTTGGGTTATTTTTCATAACAGACTGTCAGGTTGCCTTAGTTCATAGTTTTTTTTGGTTATTCTTTTACATTCCTGTTTTCCTCGACGATGCCGGTTGTGCTATCAAGGTTGTTAAAATATTAGATTGAGAAACTTAATAACATGTGCAGGTAATGACTTAATTAGGACTCATGTGAGTTAAACAGTTCTGTGGACAGTAAGTGATTATGAGAACAGCTTTGCTGAAGTGCCACTCTTGTAAGTGTTAAGTCAGTCATTCACCTAGGGAGACAAATTCCTAAAAGCTCTTTGATAGCATTGGTGGTCATTTTTCAAAGTAAAATATACCAGTAAATAGTTGTAAAAAACTTTGAATTGTTTTAATAATAAATGATCATTACTGGTAATATGCTTATTTAGATATTCACTTACACATACCACAAGCCGTTATGAAATCCGATATCTTGAGAATATCATCAACAAGCTACCGACCTGTCTAGCTTTTATTTTATTTATAAATTTGATGGCGAACTCACCGCTGTGGTGAATGCCTCGTAAAGTTTGATCTAGCGTATCAAGTATAATATTCTGCAGTCTGAATGCATACCACGGCGCTCCTGGCATTTGACTTATTCCTTTGGATTGATCCATTTACACTAATAGGAGTGAGGTTGCGCGTCCGATGATTGTGACAACTTGCTCGTGGCTAAATCGTGATGCCTTGACAACCATTGTGTAGTTGTCCGACATCCAGTGGATATCTATATAGGCCGTATAACACAGCGCTATAGGTGGCTGGTAAGAGGAGTATCAGACATATTTGGGGCAGAATGCCTGGTGTTACTCTAAGATAAATAATTTAGATTTATTTCATGTTGTATTTAAATCATCATTAGATACAAGAAAAACGAGGGTGGCTGAAGTTATAACAAGTCCATTAAATATTCCTCTGATCGGTAGGTGGCAGGAAACATTTAACTTAAATATAGGCGAACCCTGTTGAAGGAATAATGACACTGTGTGGTCTTTGTTCCTGTGTGTGTTGTTAGGACTAAGGTTGCACAGAAATTATTAGCACAAGGCATAGATGCTAAACTACATTCTGTTTCACCCGTTTTCTACGACTCATAAACACAAAAGAGAAAACCATTCAACGGAATGGGGTGTTATTTACTGTTTTACCCTGATTTATTTCACTGCAAAATAAAAAGAAAAGAATAACAGACTTGTTGTGTCGTAATGTTTGATATGGAGACGCGCTGCGCTTTGTTCTTGAATTTAATATTGGAAAGAATGTGCTAGACTATTGAAATTATGTCTTTTGACAACGTAAAGGAAAATCAAAAGTCCTACAGTCGTCTGACCTGTCATGCATGCGCACCCTCTTGACTGGAATATCACCAGACTCTTCCAAGATGTGGCTGTGTCTCCAGCACACCAAGGACTCTCCACCTCACATTATGTTATCACAGAAACGCATGGTCACTTCTTTACTGCATTTGTGTGCCTTAACAAATTGGTTTGAGTTAGGTAGACATCATTTTGGTGTCAGTAATTGCTGGCCATCTTCCCAGTCATCCAAATATCTTAATCATCTAGTAACAGGCACTCACCCAGTCATCCAAACATCTTAATAAGTTAGTAACAGGCAATCCATCACCCAATCATCCTAACATCCTAATCATCTAACAGCAGAAATCTTCCCAGTCATTCTAGCATCCTAATACTGAAAGAATCTGATTGGTGTCTCACCTCAAGCTTTAAGTATTGACATTTAAACCATCGTCTTTGGGGAGTCATACTGTCAAACCATTCTACAGGAAGACTTGTATCCATATATGTATGTACTTCATTACAAGTTTATAACACATGAATATATTGAGATGAAGCCTAGGACAAAAAAAAAGTCATATATGATGTTTTTGTGTTTTTTATTGTTCATTTTCTTTATGATCAGTTGTTTCGGAAAGTCGTGTGTTGGAGATGTTTCGGTGTTAATAATGTTGAATGGTGTGTCGTCAGTGATGGTCGTTCTCACGGGCGGGTGTCGTTCACGGGTCCCTCCAGCCGCCCTCCAGTCTGTTGCCCTCTACTTGCCATAGCCGCCACCATGATGGCCACCGCCATAGCCGCCACCACGATGGCCACCGCCAAAGCCGCCACCACGATGGCCACCGCCAAAGCCGCCACCACGATGGCCACCGCCAAAGCCGCCTCCGCCAAAGCCACCGCCACCAAATCCTCCACCGCCAAACCCACCACCAAAACTGCAATCGGGATGTAAACATTAGTCACATGATCATCCAAGCTCAGCATATCACTTGCCATATTATATATATATATATATATATATATATATATATATATATATATATATATATATATATATATATATATAATATCGATCACAAAAATACTGATCCAAGTATGCAGGAAAACTACATGTGAAAAATAAAGAATGCTAAACGCGTTTTCAGCTCAATTCGTCTTCATCTGAGCAAAAATTGTATTCAAATTTGCTCTGATGAAGGCGAATTGAGCCGAAAACGCGTTTAGCATTCTTTATTTTTCACCTGTGGTTTTTCCGCATACTTGGATCAGTGTTTTTGTGATCATTGTTGCATAATTCAATTAATATGGCATGATCAATGTTGTACTCGATATATCACAATAAAAACATAAAACATGTACATATATATATGAATAATTGATGTTCTACTGGCAGTAGGCGTCACTCTCTTGATAACTTACCCGCCACCTTTACCACCTCTGAATCCGCCACCACTGAATCCTCTACCACCGAATCCGCCGCCACCATGTCCACCGAGTCCGCCGCCACCGAATCCACCGAGTCCGCCGCCACCGAATCCACCGAGTCCGCCGCCACTGAATCCTCCACCACCAAATCCTCTTCCACCGTGTCCACCACCATAGCCGCCTCCTGCCTCAGGGTCAGGGTCGGCCATGGCCCCGCACACCGCGGCCATCACCACCACCATCAGCGTCTGCGCAGGAAAGAAAGGAAGAGGTCAATAACATTGAAAAGAACAACAGTACATCACTTGATTGTGATTGATAAAATACTGGACATTCTTGAGTGTATCCCAATACCGCTTGTAACAGATAAAAACAAATATATCTAAGGAAATTATAAGCTGCCTAAAATTTGAGCTTACTCTGATATTCTTTATGTGAACAATTTTTCTAATATCTATCTCAGTAATATCTAATCCTCAGCATTATGTAATTGTAAAGTAATACCTAAATGTCTTAGCTCTGATGTAGACTTTATTTACATTGTTATGCATAGTAGTTGTAGTACAACCAGCTTTTCAATTATCATTAATGTATATTATAGTTTAAAATAACTGGGACATGCTAATTGTAGCAATTAATGTCAACAGCCCATTGGGTCTGATTGACACGAACGGTCTGAAGACCGTTCGTGTCGTCTGTAATACTTTTGTTTCACCGCTCAATAAACTACTGTTTACAGGATAAGTATGATATCCACAATAAACTACTACACACAGGATGAGTATGGGGGTTCACAATAAAACACCGTTCATGTACAGGATGAGTATGAGGTGCAAAATAAATTTCCACTCACTGGACGAGTATGAGATGCACAATAAACTTCCGATCATGTACAGGGTAAGTATGGGGTGCTTAATAAATGTTATCGCACAGTATGAGAATTGTATGCATTAGCGCCAGTTCATTGGCGCTAATGCATCCATTGGCAGCACATCACAATCATTGGCAGCACTACTACATACGCCAGCACTAATACAAGCATCAGCACTAGCACAAGCAAGAGTACTAGTATAAGCACCAATAATAGTACAAGCACCAGTACTGGTACAAGCACCAATACATCAAGCACCAGCACTATTACTGGCAAACACCAACGCTAATACAAGGACCAGCACTAGTACAAACACCAGCACCCACACTAGTACAAGCACAAGCACTGATACAAGTACTAGTATAAACAACAGCACTAATACGAGTACCAGCTCTAGTACAAGCTACAAGTCTAGTACAAGCACCAGCACTATGGCAAATTAAGGGTTAAGGATACTCACAAGAGCTCGCAGACAGTTCATGGTGGCTACAGTTCAGCGTCAGGGAGCCAACTGTTGCATATCATCGTCTGTCTCAGGCTTATATAGCCAGGTCACATAGTTTGTGTTCTTGCCAGGTATTTCTTGTGGGCTATCAGGGAAATCTTGCCCTGGATTAAATCAATTCTTCGTTTATCATGCTGGATATAGAAAAGAAATACTACTCTTTAGTTCGAAAGGGAGGACTGCACAAAAATGGATTGAAATACAATCATGCTCTTGGGAATACTGATACGGATTGCTAAAGTTTGCAAGTTAATATCTGAACGTGACAAAAGGGGAAGGATGGTGGGGAATTTGGTCGGTATTACTGGGGGTTTCCTATCGTAAAATTATTTTTGCTTCTCTTGTCTCTCTCCATTTCTACTTTTACGCGTGTCTCTTTTTCCAGTGATAGCAATTTAAAATATTCTAGCAATGCTCGTAAAAAATAAACGAATGTATAGCTAGACATATGACATAAATACTTATTTTTGCCAAGACAAATGTTAGTTAGAATAGATAATAACAGCAGCTATTACTGTCAAAATAGTTGAATAACGTCACAAGTGTCATAACCGTCACAAGAGTGTCATAACCGTCACAAGAGTGTCATAACCGTCACAAGAGTGTCATAACCGTCACAAGAGTGTCATAACCGTCACAAGAGTGTCATAACCGTCACAAGTGTCATAACCGTCACAAGTGTCATAACCGTCACAAGAGTGTCATAACCGTCACAAGAGTGTCATAACCGTCACAAGAGTGTCATAACCGTCACAAGTGTCATAACCGTCACAAGTGTCATAACCGTCACAAGAGTGTCATAACCGTCACAAGTGTCATAACCGTCACAAGAGTGTCATAACCGTCACAAGAGTGTCATAACCGTCACAAGAGTGTCATAACCTTCACATCCGATCCTTGGTCCTGCCTCTCAACCTACAATCGACAGGTGTTCAGGTTTCAGAAGCTGTTGGGCCCGATCGTATCTATATATGAAGCTGAGTATTGTCTTCCTTAATCTCTTCACTTATCATCGTATTTAAAATGTTAATTGTAATGGCACATAACTTTTTGATTTGATGTCATGACAACAACAGCCAAGTGAAGAACAACAGTTAAGAGAAAAACAATAGTCAAGAGAGGAACAACCTTCAAGAAAACAACACCAGTCACTAGAAGGACAATATCAATAGAAGGACAACAGTCAAAGTCCAAGGACAGGTTTGCAGCAGACGCCGCCTCGATTGGTCTCTGCCGCCCGAGGCTACTAATTTACTGTGCATCGCATACTCATCCTGTGAGCGGTAGCAAAGGAAAGGATTACGAGGACACAAAACGTATTAATCAGACCTCAGCGTGTCTGAGGTCTGAAATCCCTGCGGAGATTTTTACATTAATATTTATATCTAACCTGCACACCTTATTATTATAACAATCTTTTTGCATTGTAACATTTATTTACAATATTTATTATTTTTGCATTGAAGGCAGGTCTTTTGTTAATATCTAAAGCAAGTTAAAAACTGAATAATTCAGGATCATAAAAGTGCTGTTATTTTTTCGTTATTGGTCTTCATACTGCTCAGCTTATAAATTAATTTCACATATGTAATTTATTTACTAGAAGCGAAGTATGAATACAGTGCAAGGATTTCGGATATTTTATCATTGATAAAAAGTATTATGCCTAAAGCCACGAATTAACGCTCAATGTTTCCAGCATGTATCTTTCCAGCCTTTCTGAAGTTCCTTCCCGCTGTCTTTTTCTCCCTAATTTCCATTTTGAAGGCGACTCACTCCACTGCTTCTGCTTCACCATCTCACTCCCATTTCCCTCGCACACACACATACTTTGTGGAACTTGAATATTTCCAATTTCATTTAGCTGTCTTTATCACTTTATCATTCTGGTGTTTATTCTTGTTCTAAAGATAAATTAGCTTTTCTCACACAAGCACATTGTGTGTGTGTGTGTGTGTGTGTGTGTGTGTGTGGGTGTGTGTGTGTGTGTGTGTGTGTGTGTGTGTGTGTGTGTGTGTGTGTGTGTGTGTGTGTGTGTTAGCATGCATTCTCATGATGGTGAGGTAAAATCAGTGAGGTGAGGTGAGGTATCAGTGAGGTAAAATGAATAACATGATTTTATGCTATATTTATTTTATCGAATTATATAATGAACACAAAAAATTAAGAGAGTATGGAAGAACCCTCTTTTTTTTTTACTTGACATAATATATCACATTTTTTAGCAAATATATTTTGATATTGTGGTGTCCAGGTAAGGCTGATGTGTTGGAGATGTTTCAATGTTGATATTGAGGAGAGGTGTCAGTGGGCGATGGTTGTTCTCGGGCAGGTGTCGTTCACTAGTCCCTTCAGCTGCTATGCAGTATGGCGCCTCAGTCCATAGGGAATTCCCACTATGGCTGCCACCTTAGCCCCTGTTTCCCTTGGTGCCATGCGCGCCGCCGCCTTGGAGTCTGCCAGGACTGCCTCTTTGGCCGAGTCCTGTGCCGAAACCATGACCGCCATGGGCGCCGCCTAGGCTACTACCTCTGTTGCCACCCTGTGGGCGGCCTTTGGAACCATGACCACCAACACCGCCTTGTGGATCAGGTAGAGGGCCGGCCATGGCCCCGCACACCGCGGCCATCACCACCACCACCAACATCTGGGAAGAAGAAAGATCAGATTTGTGAATGTAACTCAATGCTGTCGAATATTACGATTTTGAAAATATAAATATTGAAGGCACGGGCAAAACATAGTATTTAAATTTCCCTCATCTAAAATCATTCTCTCAACATGAAACATTTTGGAGCCACGCAGACAAGTACGTTAGTGAAACTTTCCAAATGTGTATTTTTAACATAACACTGCAGATGATATGCGGCCCAGTCTCTGACCAGGCCTTCTTCTAATTGGTGGTCTGGTGACCCAGGCTATTAGACGCCACTGCTCGCAGCCTGACATATGAATCACAGTCCGGTTGATCAAGTATCCACTGGAGGTATTTATCAAGTTGTGCTTTGAACACCATGATAAGTCGGCCAGTTATGCCCATTATATTTCGAGGGAAAGTATTCGAAAGTCTTGGGCCCTTTGTTGATAGAATTGTCTTTGAGTATACCTATTTTGCACTTCTTCCCATGCCACCTGGTTTCACGAGGAGCAACTTACGTGTGCATAATTGGAACCAGTATATCTCAAAAATTGTTCACGTTTAAATATTATGTATCTCGCCTGCGCTCATGTAAATGTTGAAAAGCCTAACAAGATTTCAGTCCCCGACAATGGTAGTGGCCATAACACAGCAGCTTTGACATCAAGACCTGCGGGTTGGTACAAGAATTCAACCAACTACGTACCACTTATTTTGATGAAAGGTTACAATAGAAAAACAGAGGTGCTCAAACACCGCTTCAGTCTTGGATAGCCATGAGCATGGAAAGTAGGCTCACACGTTTCAGAAGAAGAGAGGAAATGTCACCACAGTGGAGAAATGCCCGACAGACCACTGGAACATCATCTAACACAGTATAGAGTTGCAAACCAAATAAGATTTCTACTGAAACTTATCACCCCAAAAGAAGTTGTAAAACACATTGGACATAACCTTACAAAAGCCAACATACGAATCCTAAATATTCACACACCGCCTAAGTAAAACAGAAAGAAACAGTGGGCCAGTCAGAGGCTTAGGACCCGCGCAGGAATATCCCTGCAAAATGTGGCATACCTATATATCAATCAGTATTATAAAGTTAAATATTACAACTCTGGTATTTAGATTAAACTGGGTTCACCTGTTCTTAAAGCGTAACACAGTACAGTAAATCTAATTTCTTTAACTCGGAAGTGTTGTCAGTCTCAGCGATGAATTGGACAACAGAAATGTATGTGCATCACATAATGTGCATCACTAGAACTAATACTAGAACTAGTGCCAGTACTAATACTATAGCTAATACCGGTACCAGTTCCAGCACTAGTTTTAACTCCATCACTTGTACTAGGTCCAGCACTAGTACTAGAACTAGTACCAACGGTAGGATTAGAACTATTACCATCACTAGTACCAACACCAGGACCAGTATTAACAACAGCACAAAGTCACCAGACTAACAGACGTTGTCACAGCTCGAATAAGATTTGGCTACAAGTATCTCTGGCAGTTCGGCTTGTATAGGGGTCTAGATGAAGTAAAATATAAAGTGTGTGGACAGAGACAGGGACACACACTCCAACACTATATTATGGAATGTAATAAAATTGAGTCATTTAGAGATAAATCTAAGCTCACTCTGTATGATATGGCAACCTATCTTATTTCCAAGGATAAAATACCTGAAATCCTTGCACTGTATCTATATTTAGCTTCCAGTAGATAAACGACATATGAGATTAAGAAACAAATAGTTTATTATGAAAACTAATAATAAACTGCAGCTCCCTTATGGTGCTCAATCTTCACTGTTCAAACAATTATGTATTAGCTATAAGACCTACCATGTATGTATAATGGCTTACTGTTAATATATTGCTCTTGGAATAGAACATTCTCTGTAACTAGCTGACATTGTAGTTATAAGGTGTGAAGGATAGATGAAATTGTTTATGTAATAATCTAAGTTGAGGTCTGATAAAGACCTTTTGTGCCCTCTGTAATGCTTTTTGCGCTACCGCTCACAGGATGGGTATGGGGTGCACAATAAACTAGCAGCCTCCGGCGGCAACAACAAACAAAATAATAAAACAAAGCAGCACCAGGAGCATCCCTGGTGTCACCTCAGCCGGTGTAGAAGTATTAGCAGTGCTAGTGCCAGCATGAATATCAGTGCTGACACCAGCACCAGGAGCATCCCTGGTGTCACCTCAGCCGGTGTAGAAGTATTAGCAGTGCTAGTGCCAGCATGAATATCAGTGCTGACACCAGCACCAGGAGCATCCCTGGTATCATCTCAGCCGGTGTAGAAGTATTAGCAGTGCTAGTGCCAGCATGAATATCAGTGCTGACACCAGCACCAGGAGCTGAGCTAGTAGCAGCACTGATACCAACACCAGCTTCATGCCCATAACAAAATCTTTTATCAGTCTACGAACCAAAACACGGAGATAGTTCATGGTGTGTGGAGCTGATCTCTCTCGGTCCTCTGTCTGAATTTGTTAGCCCGTTTCTTGGGTATATAAAGCCAAGCCTCCAGTGCCGCCATGACGGTTGCCAGGTGCTCAATACAACCATTCAGACAAGGAGAGTAAATGACTTTTAAACTTAACATGTGCAGCGTGGAACGAGTGCTATGCTGAGCTTTATATTTCCTCAGTGTTGGTTTCATATAAGCAGTATAGGGGAATATGGAGGTAGAGAACAGCTATCAGGAATATCTTCGATTGCCAAAATGAGGAATCCTGCTCCTATGCCTGAAGAACTGGTATATTCCTGTAAAAGTTCATTTTTCCCACCCTGAGGTCTTGTTCGCCCTCCTTGTCTTTGGGAAGATGAATTGACAGTAAACCAGAAACAGGAACAATAAGAATTTTTCAATAGTGCGCTTCTTAAAGATTTTTGTGTTTTATTTTTTTAAAATTTGGCCGTGAGCACATCTCATATTGGATGACGTTGGCATCATCAGGTGTGTCAGGTTAATTATTTATCGCTGGTTCTATTTATCCTAACAGGTTCCCTTGGCCCCCTGAATAATTGCTCAGCACAACTGCTAAAACCCGGATTTCAAGTTCAAAATCTTTAGACATAAATAATACTAAATTTATAATTAATTTAATGTACAAAAAATCAAATACATTATTTATTTGCACAAAAAAGTCTAACTAATTATAATGATTACCCATAGCGGGTAAATATTATAATTATGTACTGTATAATACAAATGACATGGCCAGTTATGACCTAATGCTCAATACATAAGAAATACAGTTTAGACAACAGTATTTCTTCATTTTTTTATCGACTTTCATGGGCACATTATCATGCACGCGGTACATCAAATAACTTAATTTAAAGTGTTCTTCTTTCATAATGAAATATAGCTGATTCAGAGGCTTTGTTTCGGAACAATTACCAAGCAATATTAGCTGTGCTTCTCAGCGATCTGATCAAGGAGATAAAGCGATCACGATATCTTAGTGTATTCGTCTGCGTGCCATCATTGGCCCTAGTTAAACTATCCTGTGCCTTCGTGAAGCCGGTGCTTCACCTGGGATAAGTTTATGATCATATCGCTGATGAATTGTTTGTTACAAGAGACAGTTCGCATCCTCGCAGCTATCCATCCCCCCACCCCCTCCTTCCCCGTCACATCTCCGACCACCTCACATCTCCTACGGCCACTTAAACCTTTCTTCCGGCCACCTCATCTATCGCCAACCGATCCAAAATTGCCCGCCACCTCGAGTTTTGAGTGGTAATTTACAAGGTAGCAACGTGGCTGTTTCCAAGTGTTGTGAAAATGGCCTTGTCTCTTGAAAATATAGTTCAAAGGACCAGTTCTTTGGGCAGTTTTTCTTCTTCGATAACATTCAAAACACAATTCCAGGGTTCCTAAACTGTCTAGTCACGACTGGTCTTGGGGTCCCCGGCCTGCATGAGACTGGCGTACAGTTAAGAAAAAAAAAAGTAAATGTTAAGATATAAAAGAAAAAATTTGTACCTTACACACTGAGTGGCGACTTACACATGTTGGCAGAAATAGCAAATATAAAATGAATTTATGGTAATCTGCATATTCTAAAAATTACAATGAAAACATAGCATAAACAATAACTAAGCATATATGTGTTTAAGACATTAATATGTATTTGATATAAGCTCTAGATCAGTAGCTTTCAGAATTTTGGGTCACATTCCTTCCCTTGCGATCCTAAGTGTCTTGAAATCCTGCCCCATTTTGATTTGTCATCTAAAAATATGTTTACAGTGGTAATTATTGAAAAAATTATGAAACTAAACACTGCTAACAAACAAAAAGTGCTAAATTGCTTTATTAATTTCCATTAAATGAAGAAATAAATCCTGATTTCAATGGCTCATAAAACTTACATTTGATTTAATGCCCACCTTGACCCGAGTACAGAGAAACAACTAGAAAACCGAGGGACAAATCCAGATAGTCTTGTGTGAAGGTCAGACTTATGACTTATAATAAGTCATAAGGACCACGCTCCTTAATGTTGCAACCCATCCTCCTGTTTAGATAGTACCTATTGTGACCATCGTCAATAGTCACGAATTCTTACGTACTTAGCTTTTAGATATATTTACTTAGATATACTTTTAGATATACCTACTCGTAAGAAATTCTTTTATAAAAATGAAGCTAAAACACAAACATAAATATTCCTAGGCCTAGTATAGCAGACATATGTACTATATTAGGCCTCAGATATCGTGTATTAGGCCTAGGAAGGTTAGGTTAGTTTAGTTTGTCTTTGCAACACAAGTAAAATATTGTTTTCCGGTTTGTCCAACTCACTAGCGCCGATTTCTACTTTCTAATATCGTTGTACGTCGGTATATACACTATGGTCCTCATCGTTACTATAGTACTACCAAAGCAGGAGGATGGGCTGAATATTGAGACGTCCTCATTGTTTAGATAAAGTCCGTAACAGCACGAAAGGTACATTCAACCATGTATGTTGCTGGAAAGTACAAAAAAACTTGCTGAACCTCTGTAATTAATTTGTTATATTTGGCGACAACTTGGAAATCCAGCTACATGAAGCATTGTTTTGAAGCATGGATCGGTTTCATACTGTCAACATTTGGCAAACTATGTCATTTTTACCGTCATTGATGTATGTCATTCAACAACTTGATATGAACAAAGTATTTTTTTGACCCCCATAACCATCTTGTGGGTGGTAGTGGAAAGGTTAAGGAGGCACATCATTGGCTCAGGAAGTGAACCCCAAAGTTCATTTAACTAAAATTGCAGTCTTGTGAAGCTTGTTATACAATCTAATGTCAGTCTTTTATATCACAAGTGGTTCATGAACTGGCCCACTAGAGTCTCTTCAGGTAGAATATATGTCGCTATGATACATACAACAATTATAATGTAAATAATATTTTTTATTCAAAGTAATAAATTCTGTAAAATACGTAAGACAAAATACTTTTTACACACATGAAATTGAGTTAGGAGAATTGAAACTGTCATTTAATAATTATGCTGGTAACAAGGAATTTATGTTTTCCTGCAGTCTCCATAGTTTTTGTTTTTGTCTTATAAGGCTATGATAATTTTGTTGATTTGATTTGTAATTGTCAGTTTGGGGAACTACTGGAGTGAAACTACCCTTCTCATCTTCTGGCCTTGGTATGGCCTTGCGGTTATCTGGCGGTGGTTCCGGGGGTCAAGATTCTCGCCGACCGGTCTCTGACCACGTCTTCTAGTTTTAACATGTTTGACTGAAAAATATATATACATTATATATATATATATATATATATATATATATATATATATATATATATATATATATATATATATATATATATATATATATATATATATATATATATATATATATATATATATATATATATATATATATATATATATATATATATATATATATATATATATATATATATATATATATGCGAACAAGCCTGAATGGTCCCCAGGCCAATATGCAACTGAAAACTCACACCCCAGAAGTGACTCGAACCCATACTCCCAGGAGCAACGCAACTGGTATGTACCAAGACGCCTTAATCCACTTGACCATCACGACCGGACATAATGAGGTGATAGCCGAGGCTATTTGAACCACCCCACCGCCGGCACTCGGATAGTAATCTTGGGCATAGCATTTTACCAAATCACCTCATTCTTTGGGGCACACGTGAGGAACACAAATGCGAACAAGCCTGAATGGTCCCCAGGACATATATATATATATATATATATATATATATATATATATATATATATATATATATATATATATATATATATATATATATATATATATATATATATTATAGGAGCTGTCCTGGCACTATCAAAGTCACTATCAAAAAAAAGGCACAAAAAAAATAATATAATAATAAAAAATAATAATTTTCTCACATTTTTTCTTAATATTTCCAACTCAACATGAGTCACATACGTTTTATTTAATAAGTTTTCAAAAAATCCTCTTCTGTTGAGCAGTCTAAGGTTACTTTAAGTATTATTGAAGTCAAATGAGCCTAATGAGTACTGTATTCAAAAACTTACATTCACAAATTGATAACATTCAACATTTATTTGCTTTCAGTCCATTAGGATTTAGTAATAAACATTCCAATTAATATAGTTTAATATCTGGTTTATGCGTATTTAACATACATATTTTCGTGCTATGTCGATTAACAGGTAAGACTGGGGTTTTGTAGATGTTTCAACGTTGTAATGAGTGGCATCAGTGGACGGCTTGAGGTGGCCACAGCCATGGCCGCCATAACCACCGCCATGGCCGCCGTGGCCGCCATAACCACCGCCATGGCCGCCGTCATGCTGCCATGGCCGCCACCATGCCGCCATGACTGCACCGCCATCAGCCAACCCTCGAGTGCTCCTCTACCCACGGCTGTAGTTGGGATGTAAACATTAGTCAGTGTGGCTACACTTTCAAGTGTAAGTGTTGACGCATTATATCTACTGATGTATTATAATGACGTCATTTAACAAAAAACTCATTGTAGAATAAAAGTCACATTAGAGCTACAGTATTGAAACCAGTGCACAACATATATTGTCAAGAAATGACTGAACCCCCTGTTAGGGCCTGACAGCGCTCGGGATTCGTAGTACTGAGGTTCCGGGTTCGATCCCTGGTGGAGGCAAAAACAAATGGGCAGAGTTTCTTTCACCCTGATGCACCTATTCACCTAGCAATTAATAGGTACCTGGGAGTTAGACAGCTGCTACGGGCTGCTTCCTATGTGTGTGTAACAAAAAGAAGGCCTGCAGGCGATGAGTCACAATAACGTGGCTGAAGTATGTTGACCAGACCACACACTAGAAAGTGAAGGGACGACGACGTTTCGGTCCGTCCTGGACCATTCTCAAGTCGATTGTCATTCCCAAGTCGGTTGTCGACTTGAGAATGGTCCAGGACGGACCGAAACGTCGTCGTCCCTTCACTTTCTAGTGTGTGGTCTGGTCAACAAAAAGAAGGCCTGGTCGAGGAGCGGGCCGCAGGGATGCTAAGTCACGAAATCATCTCAAGATAAGATCTTAAGAAGATAACCCCTTCTGTTTTCACCTCAAATTCTCGGTTTCTTGTACATAAAGCTAGACATAGGCGGCTTATACCAACATATACTGTTCCTCAGAGCAACAGTATGTTTCGGGATATTTAATTTTGGTTATGTTTGCGCCATACAAGGTTTAGGCACAAGAAATTGTTGATTAATAAACAATAAACACATGCACAAATGATGCTCTATTGAGAGTCAACTTACCCGCCGCCACGACCCCCACCACCACCACGTCCTCCACCGCCACGACCACCACCGCCACGACCACCACCGCCACGACCACCACCTCCACGACTACCCCCTCCACGACCACCTCCTCCACGTCGTGGGAAAGGCTCAGGGTCGGCCATGGTCCCGCACACTGCGGCCATCAACACCACCACCAATATCTGGGGAAGAAAGAGATAACGAGGTCAAACTTGTGACTTAACTCATCGTTGCTGACCATAGCAGCTAATACCAGAAACAGGAGAAGCACACTAGTACCAGGAGTTGTTCTAGTACCATCAGCTGCATTAGTAGCAGCACTAGTGGGTCTACAAGGAGCAGCACTAGTGGGTCTACAAGGAGCAGCATTAGTGGGTCTACAAGAAGCAGCATTAGTGGGTCTACAAGAAGCAGCATTAGTGGGTCTACAAGGAGCAGCATTAGTGGGTCTACAAGAAGCAGCACTAGTGGGTCTACAAGGAGCAGCATTAGTGGGTCTACAAGGAGCAGCATTAGTGGGTCTACAAGGAGCAGCATTAGTGGGTCTACAAGGAGCAGCATTAGTGGGTCTACAAGGAGCAGCATTAGTGGGTCTACAAGAAGCAGCATTAGTGGGTCTACAAGAAGCAGCATTAGTGGGTCTACAAGGAGCAGCATTAGTGGGTCTACAAGAAGCAGCACTAGTGGGTCTACAAGGAGCAGCATTAGTGGGTCTACAAGGAGCAGCATTAGTGGGTCTACAAGGAGCAGCATTAGTGGGTCTACAAGGAGCAGCATTAGTGGGTCTACAAGGAGCAGCATTAGTGGGTCTACAAGTAGCAGCATTAGTGGGTCTACAAGGAGCAGCATTAGTGGGTCTACAAGGAGCAGCATTAGTGGGTCTACAAGAAGCAGCACTAGTGGGTCTACAAGGAGCAGCATTAGTGGGTCTACAAGGAGCAGCATTAGTGGGTCTACAAGGAGCAGCATTAGTGGGTCTACAAGGAGCAGCATTAGTGGGTCTACAAGTAGCAGCATTAGTGGGTCTACAAGGAGCAGCATTAGTGGGTCTACAAGTAGCAGCATTAGTGGGTCTACAAGGAGCAGCATTAGTGGGTCTACAAGGAGCAGCATTAGTGGGTCTACAAGTAGCAGCATTAGTGGGTCTACAAGGAGCAGCATTAGTGGGTCTACAAGTAGCAGCATTAGTGGGTCTACAAGGAGCAGCATTAGTACCATCACCAGCACTGGCACCAGCACTAGATTCAGAAGCACAACCAAATTATTACTACAAACCAAGATTCTGAGATAGTTCATGGCGACTGACTGCAGCAACTGAACTCTCTAGGTCCCCAAGTGGTGCCTCTCAGCGCGCTTCTCCGGTATATAAGCCTAGACACCCTCCTAGAGTGTCGTCATTATGGTTGCCAGGTGCTCAGTACAACCACTCGGACACGGGGAGGAAATTCATTTGAACTCTACCTGTGCGGCGCGGAACAGTGAAAGAAAAAGTTGAGAAATGTGATGATAAGGACGTTAATATACGTGATATCCTCAGGTGACGAGTATGGAATAATTTGAAAGGTGCCGAAGATTTGGGAAGGTATTCATGGGGTGTGTGGGGGGAGGGAATCCCTCTGTTATTGTTGGAATATCTGTATTATTCTGGCTCGGGTTATTTCCTGTGTTTCAAACTTTCTGTTTACTCTTTTTATAGGCAACTGTGAGCGTCTTTTTGTGGGAGACACAGGTAGATAAATTTATTGACACAAATGCAACTAAGCTGGTCGGCCGAGCGGACAGCACATTGGACTTGTGATCCTGTGGTCCCGGGTTCGATCCCGGGCGCCAGCGAGAAACAATGGGTAGAGTTTCTTTCACCCTATGCCCCTGTTACATAGCAGTAAATAGGTACCTGGGTGTTAGTCAGCTGTCACGGGCTGCTTCCTGGAGGTGGAGGCCTGGTCGAGGACCGGGCCGCGGGGACACTAAAAACAAAGCCCCTAAATCAACTCAAGATAACCTCAAGAGGAAGCTCAGGAACAACAGCAACAGAAAGAGGAGCGTCAATATAAATGTAAGTCTCAACAGAAACAAGCAGGAATAGAAACAGTAATAAGAGCAACAACAGAAATATGAGCAGTAAAGGAAACAAACTTAGCAACATAAACAGGAGCAGCAACAGAAATATAAACCTCTCATTTATTTCGTGAATCCAAGTTTGCCTTCGTCAGTTAGGTTCAAAATATCTGGGCCCAGCTAGAATCAGTATTTGTGAACTAAATGAGTCAAACACGCTCACTGTCTTCCGTCAGTTATATGAGAAGTCGCAGCTTCAGAAAAATAGATTTCACTCATAAACTGCACGAATGTTTGTATTGTTATATTGTTATCAAATAAATAACTGCCTTCAATTAAACGCCTTTTGGATCAAGGCGGAGCTAGGGGTGGCCATTTCAAAATCTCCAAAGAGAAAAATAGCCACTCTTGTATATATATATATATATATATATATATATATATATATATATATATATATATATATATATATATATATATATATATATATATATATATATATATATATATATATATATATATATATATGTCGTACCTAATAGCCAGAACGCACTTCTCAGCCTACTATTCAAGGCCCGATTTGCCTAATAAGCCAAGTTTTCATGAATTAATGTTTTTTCGTCTACCTAACCAACCTAACCTAACCTAACCTAGCTTTTTTTGGCTACCTAACCTAACCGTACCTATAAATATAGGTTAGGTTAGGTTAGGTAGGGTTGGTTAGGTTCGGTCATATATCTACGTTACTTTTAACTCCAATAAAAAAAAATTGACCTCATACATAGAGAAAAGGGTTGCTTTATCATGTCATAAGAAAAAAATTATAGTAAATATATTAATTCAGGAAAACTTGGCTTATTAGGCAAATCGGGCCTTGAATAGTAGGCTGAGAAGTGAGTTCTGGCTACTAGGTACGACATATATGTATATATATGTCGTACCTAGTAGCCAGAACTCACTTTTTGGCCTACTATTCAAGGTCCGATTTGCCTAATAAGCCAAGTTTTCCTGAATTAATATATTTTTTCTAATTTTTTCTTATGAAATGATAAAGCTACCCATTTCATTATGTATGAGGTCAATTTTTTTTTATTGGAGTTAAAATTAACGTAGATATATGACCGAACCTAACCAACCCTACCTAACCTAACCTAACCTATCTTCATAGGTTAGGTTTGGTTAGGTAGCCGAAAAAGTTAGGTTAGGTTAGGTTAGGTAGGTTAGGTAGTCGAAAAACAATTAATTCATGAAAACTTGGCTTATTAGGCAAATCGGGCCTTGCATAGTAGGCTGAGAAGTGCGTTCTGGCTACTAGGTACGACATATATATATATATATATATATATATATATATATATATATATATATATATATATATATATATATATATATATATATATATATATGTGTGTGTGTGTGTGTGTGTGTGTGTGTGTGTGTGTGTGTGTGTGTGTGTGTGTGTGTGTGTGTGTGAATGTGTATGTGTACTTACCTAGTTGTTACCTAGTATCTGTGTCTGTGTGTGTGCGCGCGAACAAACTTGAATGGTCCCCAAGCCAATATGCAACAGAAAACTCCTCACCCCAGAAGAATTCGAACCCAGACAGCAAGAGGCTGCATGCTCTAGGGCCTGACAGCTGAGTGGACAGCTCTTCGGATTTGTAGACATGAGGTTCCGGGTTCTATCCCCGGTAGAGGAAGAAACAAATGTGGAGAGTTTCTTTCACCCTGATGCCCCTGTTACCTAGCAGTAAATAGGTACCTGGGAGTTAGACAGCTGCTACGGGCTGCTTCCTGGGGGGGGGGGGTAACAAAAAGGAGGCCTGGTCGAGGACCGGGCCGCAGGGACGCTAAGACACGAAATCATCTGAAGATAACCACTGGTGTATGGCCACACGTGGTCTGTGAGACACTGGCGTATGGCCACACGTGGTCTGTGAGGCACTGGTGTATGACCACACGTGGTCTGTGAGGCACTGGTGTATGACCACACGTGGTCTGTGAGGCACTGGTGTATGGCCACACGTGGTCTGTGAGGCACTGGTGTATGGCCACACGTGGTCTGTGAGACACTGGTGTATGGCCACACGTGGTCTGTGAGACACTGGTGTATGACCACACGTGGTCTGTGAGACACTGGTGTATGGCCACACGTGGTCTGTGAGGCACTGGTGTATGACCACACGTGGTCTGTGAGACACTGGTGTATGGCCACACGTGGTCTGTGAGGCACTGGTGTATGACCACACGTGGTCTGTGAGGCACTGGTGTATGGCCACACGTGGTCTGTGAGACACTGGTGTATGGCCACACGTGGTCTGTGAGACACTGGTGTATGACCACACGTGGTCTGTGAGACACTGGTGTATGGCCACACGTGATCTGTGAGACACTGGTGTATGACCACACGTGGTCTGTGAGACACTGGTGTATGGCCACACGTGGTCTGTGAGGCACTGGTGTATGGCCACACGTGGTCTGTGAGGCACTGGTGTATGGCCACACGTGGTCTGTGAGACACTGGTGTAGGGCCACACGTGGTCTGTGAAGATCAACACAAACAGGTTCTTATCAGGTTCCCATTGTCAGGGACAGGAAGCATGGTAGGCTTATCGAGGTCCCTCTACGACGCTTGGGCAACGACTGACCCATTTCCAGTTGTGAGACATCACATGTTATGAAACGTATTCAAATGTCCTGACCTGTCCGGGAATCGAACACGGGTCCAATCAATTGTGAGTTGTCTGCCCTGACTGCTGCGACTCCAAGGTGTAAATACAGGTAATTGCAATGACTCGCCCTAAGCTTTCCAGCATAGTTACTGTTAACATTAAGCTGGCTTCTACAACTTGCCATCTTCGTTCGTTCCATGTTTTACCACTACTCTTAAAATAATGTCTGATATCTCTATGGTTCATCTGTTTCCCAAGCTTCCACTCATGCTCTGTTGGTATTCATTGTAAACATTTCCTCTTTTTTCCACCTTGTCAATTCTTCTAAATATTTTACATGTTTCCTCTCTTACTCTTATTTTTCCAGCAACTCAAGGTTCATTTCTTTCATTCTTCGTACCTCACTCTATATGATTCTGGTACGATCCTCGTTGCAAACCTTGAAGAACCTTGAAGATCTTGAAGAAAACTTGAATCTTCTCAAGTTTTCTTGTGTGTTTTTTGAGGTTGGGGCTCCATAGTGAAGCTGCATATATAAGATTGGTCTCATGTAGGTTGTTTACAATGATGTGTGTGTGTCTTGGTATTCTGTAGTAAGCATGTGTTCTCATCCTGAGTTAAGTATCACCGAGGTAAAATTAGCACAATAATTTTAAATCTTCATAACATTCAACATTTATTTTTTAGTTAAATAAAATTTTACAATAAACATGATAATTACAGTTTACAAAAAAAGTAATATTTGTATTTAATTTACTTTACATATGTATAATAAATTTATTTAGAAGGCATATCTGGATACTACGTTCATCAGGTGTTGTAGATGCCTAAACGTTGATGTTGAGGAATGGCGTGGGTGGTTGACAGTGGTCGTTCTCACGGGCGGGTGTCGTTCACTTGGTCGTCCAGTCGCCCTCTAGTGTGGCGCCTCTACCTGCCGTAGCCGTAGCCGCCGCGGCCGAAACTACAATCGGGAATCATACATTAGTCACTGTTGCCAAACCCTTACCAAGACTAAACTTACTCTCATTCATTTCCAACATATTTAAAGCAGTTGAAGTGGTAAAGAATGCTATATGATATCTCTTGACCAGAAAGCCTTTGATAATGAGCCTCACAAAGATACATTGGCAAAGTAGAGAAGTATGTATTGTGGAGGGTTATATGAAGAAAAGGAGCATAATTAGTTATATCCAAGTGGGAGTCTCTTGTAGAAGGAGTGTTACAGGGTTTCGTTCTGGGATCTCTGTTGTTTACCTTATACTGTATATATATATATATATATATATATATATATATGTCGTACCTAGTAGCCAGAACTCTCTTCTCAGCCTACTATTCAAGGCCCGATTTGCCTAATAAGCCAAGTTTTCCTGAATTAATATATTTACTATAGTTTTTTTCTTATGAAATGATAAAGCAACCCTTTTCTCTATGTATGAGGTCAATTTTTTTTTATTGGAGTTAAAATTAACGTAGATATATGACCGAACCTAACCAACCCTACCTAACCTAACCTAACCTATATTTATAGGTAAGGTTAGGTTAGGTAGCCAAAAAAAGCTAGGTTAGGTTAGGTTAGGTAGGTTAGGTAGACGAAAAAACATTAATTCATGAAAACTTGGCTTATTAGGCAAATCGGGCCTTGAATAGTAGGCTGAGAAGTGCGTTCTGGCTATTAGGTACGACATATATATATATATATATATATATATATATATATATATATATATATATATATATATATATATATATATATATATATATATATATGTCGTACCTAATAGCCAGAACGCACTTCTGAGCCTACTATGCAAGGCCCGATTTGCCTAATAAGCCAAGTTTTCCTGAATTAATATATTTTCTCAAATTTTTTTCTTATGAAATGATAAAGCTACCCATTTCATTATGTATGAGGTCAATTTTTTTTTATTGGAGTTAAAATTAACGTAGATATATGACCGAACCTAACCAACCCTACCTAACCTAACCTAACCTATCTTTATAGGTTAGGTTAGGTTAGGTAGCAGAAAAAGTTATGTTAGGTTAGGTTAGGTAGGTTAGGTAGTCGAAAAACAATTCATTCATGAAAACTTGGCTTATTAGGCAAATCGGGCCTTGCATAGTAGGCTGAGAAGTGCGTTCTGGCTACTAGGTACGACATATATATATATATATATATATATATATATATATATATAGAGAGAGAGAGAGAGAGAGAGAGAGAGAGAGAGAGAGAGAGAGAGAGAGAGAGAGAGAGAGAGAGAGAGAGAGAGAGAGAGAGAGAGAGAGAGGATTAAACAGCAATATTAACAAATTTGCAAATGATACAAAAATTGGACAGGAAATCAATTCTGAAGGTAATTGAAAATCGATACCAAACTACGTCAGGACGAAAGACTGGTATAAACAGTTTAATAACGGCAAATGTAGGATTCTGAGTCTTGGTAATGATAACAGTTACCAAATACAATTTGGGCAATATTGAAATTGCTAAATCTGTATGCGGAGGGGCTCTGGGAGTCATGAGTAATTGTGATCTTCAGCCAGAAAATCTTTGTATGAATGTTGAAAATCAGGCGAATAAGCAAGAGAGAGAATCATATCTAGAAACGTTAACAATAAGACATTCAATATTATGCAGCTTTATCTTGTACTTGTTAGGCCCCATTTAAATTTTACGGTTCGATTAAGTCACCAATACTTTAGAATGAACATGAATTTAGTTGAACGTGTTGCGATCTCAGTGAAAATTGGACGTTAGTGACTGATCTTGACTGTATTACCCCATATATGTGGAGTTAGTTAGAATAAATAAATATAAGTATATTCCCTTGGGTAACGTCCTTCATACAACACTTGCTTGCTGCTATTCATGGTGTACAACAAATCACTGGTAACAGGGGAACTACTAAGAATTTGGAAGATGGCCAAATGTAGTCCCAATATACGAGAAGGGTGATAGACAGGAGGCACTGAACTACAGGCCAGTGTCCCTAACTTGCATACCATGCAAGCTGATGGAGAAGATTGTGCGAAAGAAAACCAGTGGAACATCTGGAGCGAAAGAACTTTGTAACACAACATCAGCATGGGTTCAGGGATGACAAATCATGCCTAACAGGATTAATTGAATTCTATGACCAGGCAACACAAATCAGGCAAGAAAGAGAGGGGTGGGCAGACTGCATATTTTTGGATTGCCAGAAAGCCTTTGACACAGTACCACATAAGAGACTAGTGAACAAGCTGGAGATGCAGGCGGGAGTGGAAGGGAAGGTACTTCACTGGATAAGGGAGTACCTAAGCAACAGAAGACAGCGAGTCACCGTGAAGGGTGAGGTCTCAGATTGGCGAGGCGTCACCAGTGGAATCCCGCAGGGTTCGGTCCTTGGACCTATACTGTTTTTGATATATGTAAATGATCTCCCAGAGGGTATAGAATCGTTCCTCTCATTGTTTGCTGATGATGCAAAGAGTATGAGGAGGATTAAGACAGAGGAAGACAGTATGCAGCTGCAAGATGAACTAGACAAACTGAATGAATGGTCCAACAAATGGCTACTAAAGTTCAACAAATGGCTTAAAGTTTAGTAAATGTAAGGTAATGAAACTAGACAGTGGAAACAGGAGGCCAGACACAAGGTACCTAATGGGAGAAGAAGTCCTTCATGAAACGGACAGAAAGATCTGGGAGTTGATATTACACCAAACCTGTCTCCTGAAGCCCACATAAAAATAATAACATCGGCGGCGTATGCAAGGCTGGCTAACATCAGGAACCTGTGTAAGGAATCATTCAGAACCTTGTATACTACATATGTAAGACCAATCCTAGAGTATGCGGCCCGTACCTTGTCAAGCACAAGAAGCTGGAAAAAGTTCAGAGGTATGCCACTAGACTAGTCCCAGAACTAAGAGGCATGAGTTACGAGGAAAGGCTGCGGGAAATGCACCTCACGACTCTGGAAGACAGAAGAGTAAGGGGAGACATGATCACTACCTACAAAATCCTCAAAGGAATTGACAAGGTAGATAAGAATAAACTGTTTAACACGGGTGGTACGCGAACAAGGGGACACAGGTGGAAACTGATTGCCCAAATGAGCCACAGAGACGTTAGAAAGAACTTTTTCAGTGTCGAGTAGTTAACAGCTGGAATGCATTAGGCAGAGATGTGGTGGAGGCTGACTCCATACACAGTTTCAAATGTAGATATGATAGAGCCCCGTAGGCTCAGGAATCTGTACACCAGTTGATTGACAGTTGAGAGGCGGGACCAAAGAGCCAGAGCTCGACCGCCGCAGGCACAACTTGGTGAGTACTTAGTAATGAGTACAACTAGGTGAGTACTTAGTAATGAGTACAATAGGTGAGTACTTAGTAATGAGTACAAATATGTGAGTACTTAGTAATGAGTACAACTAGGTGAGTACTTAGTAATGAGTACAAATAGGTGAGTACTTAGTAATGAGTACAAATAGGTGAGTACTTAGTAATGAGTACAACTAGGTGAGTACTTAGTAATGAGTACAACTAGGTGAGTACTTAGTAATGAGTACAAATAGGTGAGTACTTAGTAATGAGTACAACTAGGTGAGTACTTAGTAATGAGTACAACTAGGTGAGTACTTAGTAATGAGTACAACTAGGTGAGTACTTAGTAATGAGTACAACTAGGTGAGTACTTAGTAATGAGTACAACTAGGTGAGTACTTAGTAACAAACAAATGTTCAGGAATAAACGCTTTCCTTCTTTTGTATGAATAAATAATGTTCTGCTGGAATTAGTTTCACCCGTGTGTTAACTTACCCGCCGCCGCCGAATCTACCGCCGCCGAATCCACCGCCGTATCCACCGTATCCACCTCTACCGCCAAAGCCGTGGCTTGCCTCAGGCTCAGGCTCGGGCTCAGGTTCAGGGTCGGCCATGGCCCCACACACCGCGGCCATCACCACGGCCACCAGCATCTGGGGAAAGAGAGGCAGAGGTCAAACTTGTGAATGTCAGTCAACGCTGCTGACCATAGCAACTTTGAGTCGTCTGTTTTCCGATGACATTTCAAAGGTGACTCTTATGTACAGATAAAATATTGTAGTTAAATATACCTAAGGTAAAAACATTCTTAGTAAAGTCCTTTTGCACAATATACTTCATTGCGAATTAAACTGGTATAGCTGTTTACCGATTAGGAAAAGTATAGCTAGTAACGCTGGAACTACAGCCCGTCTTCTCGAGTTGTCACGTTACAAAAATGATGTATTAAATTAGCCGAAATTAAACTAACCGAGGACCCAAAATTGACGGGACAGTCCGTCAATTTTGCGAGAAGTTGGAGATTCACACGTTAAGATGCTATATACTATTCGATAGGACGGGTTGAGCTCCAAATATTATAAGATCCCGCGGCAGGTCTAACACGTTTCCTCTCACCTTATACAGCTGTTCACTTAACAATTGATAACTGATGTGGGGTGACATCCCGCTGAAGGACAGTAGTTATCCAAGGGGGTGGTAGGGGGAACTTCGATAAGCTTAACTTACACATAGCAATAGTTCATCTAAGTAAATACGATCTGTTTACTGCGCCAGAAAGGAGCTGGGTTAACGCCTATAGACTTAAGATTCAGCTTTTCTGACCACCACCTTATAAATACCAGCACCAGGAGCCGCACTATCAACATTAATAATAACACTTCAACTGCTACCAGAAATTTTAGCCAATTATCCCCAGTTTGCAAACTGTAGGTAGTAATTAAGTCATTGTAACCTATCCACCGCTGCCCAGTGGATGGGGGGCGGTGTGCAGGACAAACATATCAATTGTGACACTAGCTCTCCACATATGTCAGTTGCTTAATTTAGAAACTGTACCCGTGGTCGATCTCGAACTCATTGATGATGTGACGACTTATATTGAATATTGTAACTAGCTCATCAAGATTGTAACTTGCTTAGCTAAATAAATTGTGGGGTTCAGTCTCTGAACCCATTATGTGCCTCAGTAACCCTTTCCACTACCGCCCACAAGATGGGTATGGGGTGCATAATAAATGAACTAAACTAACTAAACTTCCCAACCAGCACAAGTATTAGAATAACGTCACGGTCACAACAGAAAACATTAATACTAACCAAGACTCGGAGAAACTTCATGATGACTTCAGCTGACTTCTCTCTGTCAAGTGATGCTTGTTGGTACGATGCTCCGGTATATGAAGCCAGGCGCCTCTTCTATGGTGCCGCCAGGATAGTTGCCAGGTGCTCAATACAGCCACACACACACAAGGGGAGGAAATAATTAAACTCGTCCACTGCAGCGCGCAACAGTGAGTTCTATGCTCATTTCTGTATGGTCTTAGGGTTAGTTTCATAGAGAATAGTTATGGGAAATGTGGTGATGGAAGCCGTATAGTGTACTTCGGGTGCCGAGTGTGGAATCATTTTGGATCTGACTGTCTAAGACTTGGGATACTATTCTGGAGGTGGGGAATCCATCTATTATCTTGGGGAATAATCATATTATTCTGATCCTTTGCTACTGCTTCGTGTTTACTTTATTATGGTTGCTACGAGTTGAGCTCTGTGACTGTGTTTTGATAGATAAGAAGGTATAGCTGACAGAAACAACAAAATAAGAAGTAGAAACAGGAAGAGCTTCAGAATATTCAGTTGTCTTCTGTTGTAAGGAACAACTACGTACATAAGGTGTTTCCCAGGTGCAGCTGATGTTGGCGTCACAGTCCATTAGGGTTGAAATACAGCTAGACTTGGCCAGTAACAGGATCTGGACAACCATAACTGTCAGTCCCTCGTCCAGTCTATCAAGTGGCTCAGCTTCTTAAAACTGGATTTCACGCTGTAATTGCTTAACGTTTTGTATTACTTTTTTATCAAATTCAATAAACTCATTTTCCTTGAATATTTTCACTGCCATTCCTGCACCTCTGCTGTGTTGACGGTTGGCTCCAAGTCTGTTGATGGCATTGCCTTCGTTTTTATTTCTGATCAAACATTTCTGAACCGACTTTCCCCAGAGACTTTAGTAATTTTACGATGGAGCTTTATGCTCTAAAACTTACTCTTCATGCGTCAACTTTCGCTCGTTATAACGATTGACTCTCGCAGGGCTTATTTTTTTTTTTAGGGATATTTCTGCACGCGCCCTAAGCCTCTGGCTGGCCCACTGTGTTTAATTTCTTTCTTTATTATGCACCCCATTCCCCCCCTTCCCCCCCCCCCGCGGGCGGTGGTGGAAAGGGTTACAGAGGCACATAATGGGTTCAGGAACTGAACCCTTATACTTTATTTAACTAAGCAAGTGACAATCTTTTGAAGCTAGTTACACAATTGTTAATGTTATATGCTCACTATGTGTTAGTCATTTCTGTCTTACTTAGGCGGTGGATGAATATATAGGACTCTTATGCTGGCAAGGTTATGTCCAATGTATTTAACAAATGTTTCTGTTCTGTTAAATCTCACTTGAAATCTTACTTGGTTTGTAACTCCCGCTCTGTGTTAGAAAATGTTCAAGTGGTCTGTCGGGCATTTCTCCACAATCCTGACATTTCTTCTCTTCTGGAAACTGTAAGCTTATATTTCCCATGCACATGGGTGTCCAAGCCTCATGCGGTGTTACAGCATTTCTGTTTTTACTATTGTACTTTTTCATCAAAATATGCGTTTCCTAGATGGTTGAATACCTGTTCCAACCCGCAGGTCCTCATGTTCCAGCGGCTGTATTATGGTCACTGTACATCTTCTGCATTGATCTAATTATTTTTATTAATTTGCCAAAATCCCCAGACAACAAAATATGCTGTACAATAAATCATAGCGGCTCACAAACACGTTTTCTATACGTGGATCAGGTTAGGTTAGGATCGACATTTTAGTACATCCTTTTTTGTGACGTTGTGATAATTTGAGAGGACGGGCTGGGCTTTCAGTGGTCAACGTGCATCCTCATTATGGGTTAAGAACCATCCTCATTATGGGTTAAGAACCATCCTCATCATGGGTTAAGAACCATCCTCATCATGGGTTAAGAACCATTCTCATCATGGGTTAAGAACCATTCTCATCATGGGTTAAGAACCATCCTCATTATGGGTTAAGAACCATCCTCATCATGGGTTAAGAACCATCCTCATCATGGGTTAAGAACCATTCTCATCATGGGTTAAGAACCATCCTCATCATGGGTTAAGAACCATTCTCATCATGGGTTAAGAACCATCCTCATTATGGGTTAAGAACCATTCTCATCATGGGTTAAGAACCATCCTCATCATGGGTTAAGAACCATCCTCATCATGGGTTAAGAACCATTCTCATCATGGGTTAAGAACCATTCTCATCATGGGTTAAGAACCATCCTCATCATGGGTTAAGAACCATCCTCATCATGGGTTAAGAACCATCCTCATCATGGGTTAAGAACCATTCTCATCATGGGTTAAGAACCAATCTCATCATGGGTTAAAAACATCTCATATTCTCGTCATGGGTTAAGAACATCCTTATATTCTCGTCATGGGTAAGTATTATTAGGTAAAATTAGGCCTTTTTTATTGCTTCTAACATCTATTTTTTTCTTCTCTGTTAATTGGGAATTTATAATTAATATAATCAAGAAGTTTTCTAGAATCAACGGACAACATTTCTACTGGCTTTGCTTCTATTTAATGTAAGTTATTTAGCAGACATATTTTGATAATCCGTTGTTCAGATAAGAGTGAGGTGCTGGGGATGTCTCAGCACCTGAGTCTGAATTCAGACGTGGTGAATATAATAAATTAAACACGACTTTTGTAGCGTGGAACAGTGAGTGTTACATTGATTTATGTTTTCCAGAGTTGATACCATGAACAGTAGTTTAGGAGAGTGATGTGACAGAGATAGAGAGCCGGCGGCTGAGCGGACAGAACACTGGACGCGTGATCCTGTGGTCCCGGGTTCGATCCCGGGCGCCGGCGAGAAACAATGGGCAGAGTTTCATTCTGATGCCCGTGTTACCTAGCAGTAAATAGGTACCTGGGAGTTAGTCAGCTGTCACGGGTTGGTTCCTGTGTGTGGAGGCCTGGTCGAGGACCGGGCCGCTGGGACACTAAAGCCCTCAAATCATCTCAAGATGACCATATAGGGGAAGACTTATGGTGTGTGTGTGTGTGTGTGTGTGTGTGTGTGTATGACATTATTTCTGGGCTCCAGCTGCCTTAAGACACGATACTATTTTTGAGGTGGGAAATTCAACAATCTTGGAGGATGTACATATCATTCTTGATTAGGTGTTTACCTTTGTCCAGGCTTCCTGTTTGTCCTCCAGGTGTGACGGACCGGTGGCTCGTGTGGCTGTATTTTGGGGGAGATATAAATTGATTATCAGAATACTCGTAAAGATGAACACCAGAATGATCAACAACGCGCTTCTGTAAGAGTTAGTAACATACAGCAGCCGTGGGTGTGGCTCACGTGATGTTACTCGCTCTGGGTAACAATGTCTTTGTCTCAGTCCTTCATGTAACTCAGTCCTTCATGTAACCTCAGTCCTTCAGGTAACCTCAGTCCCTCATGTAACCTCAGTCCTTCATGTAACCTCAGTCCCTCATGTAACCTCAGTCCTTCATATAAACTCAGTCCTTCATGTAACTCAGTCCTTCATGTAACTCAGTCCTTCATGTAACTCAGTCCTTCAGGTAACCTCAGTCCTTCATGTAACTCAGTCCTTCATGTAACTCAGTCCTTCAGGTAACCTCAGTCCTTCATGTAACTCAGTCCTTCATGTAGTCCTTCATGTAACCTCACCTTCAGTCCTTCATGTAACTCAGTCCTTCATGTAACTCAGTCCTTCAGGTAACCTCAGTCCTGCATGTAACCTCAGTCCTTCATGTAACCTCAGTCCTTCATGTAACTCAGTCTTTCATGTAACTCAGTCCTTCATGTAACCTCAGTCCTTCATGTAACCTCAGTCCCTCATGTATTCATCTCAACCTGTCCTCAAGGAGCAGGTACCCTGCAGGTACCCTGGAGGTACTTACTCCACTTCAATCTTCACTTATCACTTGACTTTAATCACTTCAAAACCACTACATCATTAGTGCTATTATCTACTCCCTATCTTTCGTTAGGTTAGGTTAAAGATACATTAGGTTAGGGTTTGTTAAGTTTGGCTATGTTAATTAATATGGTGTACTATTCTCTAACATGTGAAATATGAAATTCGAAAACTATTTTGGTATCCCCTATAATTTCATTTACAGGAAACCATACTCTTCAGACCGTTTCAAAGAAAACTATTTAAGCATAGACTTCATGTTTTAAATCACATATTTATAATATAATAAAGTTATAACTTAAAAATATTATCTGTTTAGTGTAAAGGTTCACTTGCAAGTTTACAAGTAGAATATTATTGGAACCGTAATATCTAGATAGCTATCCAGTTGGCGTGAGAATGGGCTTGGTGTCTCGTGGCAATCACTTTACTTTGAGGATAGGGGGTCCCCTGCATATAACCCTTCTTGCAGAGCAAATTAATTCTTCTTAAAGCTCCAGTCTTTACATGTGTTACGTGTCCTCGTGGCCGTCCTCCTACCACCGTAACCGGCGATGGGAAACGGCTCTGGGGAGGTTGCGTATTGGCCATACACGCTTAACTCACGGTCACTTAATGGAGCGCCGCCCTGCTACTTATTGTCCAAATTGCATTGTCCCTCTTACGGTCGTGCATATCCTTGTTGACTGTCCTGACTTCCAGGACGAGCGTGTGTCTTGTTTTCCGACAATCCCCCGTGGTCGCTTGTCCCTTGATAGAATTCTTAGTGAATCGGACACTTTTAATATCGTTCGCCTTATGCGTTTCTGTTCTCGTATTGGCATCCTTGGTGATATTTAGCGCCCTCTGATTATTCCGCACATTTGATGGTGCTACATAGCCTTCCCGGTTTGGTGACTTCTTTTGATAATTACTTACTTTACATGTGTTACGTCTCTAATACTGGGACATCAAAGATGTGGCTCGCTGGCCACAGGCGGCCCATCGTCTTATTTCAACGGCATCTTCAGCACCCAACTAATAGTTTAAGCTAAAGGTACCGCATATGTATTGACAAATTACTATGTTGTCATATAATACATATCTAGTTTAAGATAAAAGTACTGCATGTGTATTGGCAAATTATTATGTTTTGTCCACTCAATAGGATGTGCTTGTAGGTCAAACAGCGCAGGATCTTTATGAATATCAGTCCAGTAGATAGTTGATATTTATGGTTCTCCGTAGAGCGTCGGACCCGTTGGATGAGAGAGTGAAGACTTTTGCTGCATTTTATATGTAACTGATGAAAGTACAGATGTAACTAGTACAACACAACTTATTTGTATACGAAGTGTTGTTATATTATGCAGGAAACAGAAGGTTTTGCTGAATTGATATAAGGAAAATGAAAACAGATGAATACGTGATGAGTTTGGTAGGAACGCTTGTCAAAATCGGCGTTTAATTGACAAAAGCTGTGAGTCTGGAGACTCATTAACTGTAAACCAACTATGACTTTCGCAATTTTCATTTCGTTATTCATAGTGAAATGTGCAGTAAATATTAATGCGAATCATGTCATGAATGTCGTCATGAAGAAAGCTAAATTTAAACGAACAATAAGTCTTAACAATGAACAGTTCAACTGCTTTTTGGACGAATATGAGAAACCTCGTGTGTCATATCACACTGGTGTTGGATGGTAAGCTGTACTGAAGCACTGTAATGAAATGCGTGGTGAAAAATTTATTTTCATGGAACGGAAAGGAAAGGAAATAGGTGTACAAGGACTGAAAGATAATGAATGGGTTGGAGAACTGACTTTCATAGTAGATATCACAAAACACATAAATTTGCTGAACACAAAGATGTTGACACACTTTATCAGTATCTGGGACCAAATTATCGAAGGATTAAGTGTTTTGCCTCAAACATTATGTCCATGTTGGAAGCACATATGTAAGTGAGCACCTCTTTTCTGTAATGAACATTAACAAATCTCAGCTTCGTTCTCAACATTCTAAGGCACACCTGAACGCAATACACAAGGCTGCTGTAGCTCAGGCATTTGTTCCAGACTGTGATGTAATGTGCCAGATCAAGAGATACCAAATGTAAAAAACTAGGCAATATGTTAAATGTTATTACTAATTTTTATTATTAATATTATTATTTTACGAGTACCTCACTCTTAAGGTCTTCCTAGTCAAACCTCGCATCATGCAGCAACATGATATCTGGGTGGCCATAGAATGTGTGATCGACACCCCTGGTTTAGTACTTCGCAAGGCTCTCGATGTTGTTGTTCTTATAGATTCAGCTACTCGGAACAAGTTCCAAGTAGCACGGGCTATGGTGAGCCCGTAGTGGACTTACCTGGCACAGGAGCGGTGAGGCTCTCGAATAAATCGGCTCTTGTATAGCCTTAGTGATTTGCATAAAACCAGTGAGATGTATAACACCCAACTTTGTGTATAAGAATATATCTGCATATAACCCAAGGCCCTTATATAGCCACAACCCTTCGTGCTATCGAAGTTAAGTTGATTAGATTAGGGAATTTTTGGAAAGATTAAAGTTCGGTTTGGATGGGTTTGATAAGGTCAGGTTAGATATATTTAATAAAATCTAATCAGTAAACAAGAATGTAAATGACAAATGATTATTAATAATTCATTAATTTGTTTTGTCTGACGCACATTAGGCTTTTTTGAAATTTTCAATATTATTCCAGAAACAAGAAAACAAACGTCACAACAATACATTAAATTAATAACCCTATTAGTTAAAAACATTGACCACTTTTGATGTTTCATTTGATTAACAAAACTAAAACCATTTGTGGTCAGCGTCTGCAGTAGCTGAAATTTGTGCAAGTTTAATGCAGTAATGGGTAATGGCTGCTTTAGAACATTTGCATCGCATCTTTATCACTTGTAGGATTACCATCCCCCGCCACCTCAATAGCTTCCGCCATAACCACCACCACCACCGCCGCCGCCGCCGCCGATGTTGCCGCCATAACCACCACCACCACCACCGCCGCCGTAACCACCACCACTTGTACTAGTGTGGCGCCCAACAAGCACAGCACGGATAATACTGGGTCCTTGACGTCCGCCTCTGTAGCCGCCTCCATAACCACCACCACCACCGCCGCCGTAACCACCACCACCACCACCACCGCCGCCGCCGTAACCGCTACCGCCGCCGCCGTAACCACCACCACCACTTGTACTAGTGTGACGCCCAACAAGCTCAGCACGGATAATACTGGGTCCTTGACGTCCGCCTCCATAACCACCACCACCACCACCGCCGTAGCCGCCACCGCCGTGGCCGCCACCACCGTGGCCGCCACCACCACCATAACCAAGCTCAGCCAGTACGCCACACACCATCGCCGCCATCACCATCTGCAATGATCAGTCTGGGTATAATGACTTATTGTCTTGAATTCACATAACATAAATAAGATGACCTAAAGCTCAATAATTAGCGCAGTCGACTCACAACCGACTGATCCTTGACTCCATTTCCGAGCAGGGCGAGAGGTGAGTGACAGCTTTCCTTAAGCCTAATGCCGGTGCTCATCTAGCAGTAAACAGGTAACCGGGAGACAGGCAACTGTTGTGGGTTGTAACGTAATGGGCAGTCGTTGGTTTGGGAGACCTCGATAAGGCTAACGGGCTTTCTGACCTCGATAGTATGAAACCATAAACACAATATATTAATAACTGAAACGTGTGTATGACAATATTTTGTATCTGTAATCTCTTCAGCATACATGAGCTATTGACTATTAACAAATGTAAACTAAGAACCGGAGACCTAATCTTGAATTAAATTTGTTCAGAGTTTCGTCATGCACATTCAACTAAATTTACACACGATTAACATATTTAAATTTTACTTGAAAGATTCTACGACAAATATGGTACTAAGACCAACACAAGTTGACTCATGACTTTCCTTATGGCTGCATCTTTTCGGCTCTCAGAGAATAGGTCACAACAACCTGGCTGAACACAACTAACCCAACACAGAGGTAGGCGGAGAAGCAAAGCATGAAACCCGAGCTACCATAAGAATGAAGGTAACGGTAGAAGGTCTGTTTTGGCCCATACGAAGCAGCTTCCTGTGAAAACTAAGGAAAACTATATAAAGTAAGTAGAAATGAGAAGAAGAGATACGGGATAAGGAACAAATGTGAAATAAGAGAGAGAACCAAGGAAGAAACACGAAGAGAGGAAGAGAAGAGATAGAAGTAGAGCACAGAGGGTCAGATAGCTAAGTCAGGTCACGATTGCTAAAAAAGTTAGATCATTTAACTATGAACTGAGAGAGGCAGGAGTCAACAGCAACAAAGCCAGGACTACGGTTCATATTGTGTATGAGAGCCGATTCAACAAACCGTGGTCTGTGGAGAGCAGAGACAGAAAAGATTATTTTGAAAGAAGACTAAGCTATAGTATGATTAGAGTCCCTAACATGACAGAAGAGTGCTTTTATCCATGCAGGAAGCTTAACACTTCGTTTGCGCCTACTGTGAATTGATTCCAACGCTAGAAATACTATGCTGCGCCTTCCCTTCATATTTGAATTTAAAAACTCATTAATACCCTTCGTCTTCTTGATATAAAACTTAACTTTCAGCAAACTAACACACTTTAGTAATTTGGTTCACACTGCTCCTCCTGCTTCCAATGCTGTTGCTATTCAGTTTCCTGTTCTTGTCCTCTACAATACTTGGGTGAAAACGACCGTATTCTTAATGACAGACTTAAGAACACAATATATGTGTTAAACTTGCTGGCACGAGAACAATGCTCCATCTATTCATGTTAGGGACTCCAGTCATCTTATATTTGCAATAAAGGTGTGCAATACTCACGGTAGCAGTTAAGATCCTCATCCTTGCTTCAACTCCAGCAACAACAGTAGCAGTGACCAGTGAAGACTGGCACTGCTCCTCCTCCTTCAGGCATTTATACTCACATTTGCCTTCCCTGATCATCAACTGGTTGCCAGCTACCAATATTACTCTACGGTGGATCGCACAACAGAGCAGAATAGTTTTCCCCGGGGAAGGTCGAGGAGACACTTCGTGACGCGAGGACTCCCATTGGTGCTAAGCGGTCACTGAGCGTGATAAACCAACGACCTTCTTCGCGGAAAATTCATACAATCGCAGTTTGTTGTTTAATTTAGTTCATGTGTTATCCACCCCTTATCTATCCTGTGGATGGTAGTGGAAAAGGTTATAGAGGTATATAATAGGCTCAGGAACTAAATCCCAAAATTATTTTAGCCAAGCAAGTTACATTCTTGATAAACTAGTTACACAGTCTAATGAATTATAATACACAGTATTATATCAACAATGGGTTCGAGAATGACCACAAATACAACTCCTTTGAAGGCAGATTCTTTGGTTAATTCACATAATATGGACTCTCTTAAAATCGCCGAATTCAGATATAAAATCATCAATGGCGTCCAAGAAATGTGTAAGTACTTCAATCATGATGATGTATTGCCAGGAATCTTAGCGAAGTATCCAAAATTTGCTTACTGTAGGTGCAGCCTGCACATGACTGTAAAGCTGCCGCCCAGTTGGGTGGGTGTGCAGCAAGGCTAGTAACTGTGTGACTCGCCATAGATGTAAAGTGCCTTGAATACTGTTGTGAGCCTCTTGTTGAATCACTTGTGATATAAAAAGATTATTGATATGTATATGCATTTGTGTAAATGATTGTATATATCATTTACATGTACATGTAAATGATATATACAATCAGTATGTAATTACTGACTGTAATTACATACAGATTGTAATTACTGATTTACATACGCATGTACATGTGTATGTAACATTAACAGTTGTGTAACTAGCTTCTAAAGATTGTCACTTGCTTAGCTAAATGAACTATGTGGGTCAGTTCCTAAACCCATTATGTGCCTCTGTAACCCTTTCCACTACCGCCTACGGGATGGGTATGGGGTGCATAATAAATAAAGAAATTGAATCTTACCATCATTAATAATTTTGTTCTAATTGTGTTTAGCTTCAGACACGAGCATGTTACAAGTTGAGCACAGTTAAGTATGATAAAGAATCGCTTACAAGAACTGTGTCAAGTTTGGAAACGTGTACACATCTGAATGGAAAAAAGTATGGCAAATAGTTCGGTCTGGAGGGTGGAGGCTCAGTTGGTTATGCAGACTTCCCACTCAAAATATAAGTCCTCAACCATAGTCAGAACAAATGCATTACCAGCTGCACCCGTGGGGCGGTGTAGGGAACCATCAGTGTTCAGTACTTGTTTTGAGAGATGGAATGCTCTGTAGACTGAGTATCAGTATGGGTTTAAGGCGTTGAGCTTTGCCTCAAGACGAAACTTGGGCTGATGTTTAATTTATTTCTTAGGTGGAAAGGGAGAGATTAAAATTTGAAAGGTGGTAATCTCCCACGGTGCAGGGAAGTGTCGTTGCTATCTCTCTTGGTACAGTTGTAAACCTGATGCATTCTGAGTTCAGTTCAACTTTTAGTAATTAATTTCGAACACGACATGCTACATCAGTGGTACAGCATGCTACAGTAGGGGGCCCAACATGACAATATGTTGTGCCAGCCCTTCGGGATAAAACGCATATCCTGAAGGTGGTTTTTCCACCTTTAGTATCTTAATTGTAAATCCTAAGTCTCTTTCTCTTTCTGATAGCTGTGCGTGATTCACGTGAATGGCCCCAGATTCCTCATTATGCACCCAAAATTTGCCAGTGCAGGTTACTGAACGTATGGCCCTGTATGACTAATCATCCTGCAAGATAGGGACTTTCAGTATCACTGCTACCTTATTCACTCCTGTGTTCATGATTTCCTCATAATGCACCCAAAGTTTGCCAGTGCAGACTACTTATCACATGCCTTTGTATGACTAACCATCCTGTGTGATGGGGATTTTTAGCATCCTGTAGCTAGTTTTGTGACACACTGTACTCCCCTTCATATAGTCTAAGGTAGCTGCACAAATGCAGATGTACCTAAATGTGTTAAAAAATCGTCAATAAAGAAATTCTAGAGGGCTTTTGTGCAAGGGTTAGGATGAATTAGCCAAAGCATTTTTATACCAATTAGACAATTTCAATAACAGGAACAGTGGCACTGGGCATATATCGCAGTACATGATAGACCGACAACCTTGAGAAAGTATATAAACAGTCATTCCTTGTGGCCAGATGCCTGAGCTCCGTTACCTGCGTTGACCCAGAGTCGACCTTGTGCTGCCCTTAAGTCACCCACTCATCAGAATACTTTTTTTTCATATATATTTGTTGTCGAGTATATATTGGTTTTGTTTCGCATCTCGACTCACCAGCACTGGGTAAGGCTTTGGTGACCTTTCAAACAAGTAATGCAGGTTACCTGGTTAATAACATTTTGGAAAATTGCCAGTGAGTAGAAATCAACCTTGGATGGCGAGGAGAGCCACCTGGCGGTCATCACCTTGGGTAGGGCTTAGTGATGAAGTAAACAACCACTGCTTCTTAATATATTTTATGCTCGTTGCGTCTTTATGTATATGTCGTACCTAATGGCCAGAACGCACTACTTGGTCTAGTATGTAAGGACCGATTTATCTAACAGGCAAAGTGATTTTCGTTATTTTATATTTCTTTTCAAATTGCTTATTTGAATTTATATTATTTAATATATTAAGCACGTGAATTACTGACTTAGTTATGTTAGGTTAGTTTAGGTTTGATGGAATTTCTATGTTTTAACTCATTAAAACAATTTAAAGCATGTATAATACAATGAAAAGCTTTATCATTCCATAAGACAGCAAAATCACTCAAGTACAGGCGACTGGAAGGTCAATACCTCTTTGTTCCCATAGCGTCTGAGACGCATGGCCCCTGGGGCAAGAGTGCCTTGGGATTTCTCAAGGAATTGGGGTCCAAGCTCATTGATGTCACCAGAGACCCAAGGGCTTCCAGTTTTTTATTTCAGCGTCTCGGTGTGGCGATCCAGAGGGGAAATGCTTGCTGCGTCCTCGGTTCCTGTCCAGAAGCGGAGGAGCTTCAAGAGATCCATAACCTTTAGGCATTTGTCTTGTATGTTTTGTAACCTTTAAATACACAATAAAGGAAAAAAAAAAAAGGGAAGGGGGTGGTAGGAGGAAAGCACACAGAAACTGTATTGGAGGGGACCCACATTCCCTCCAATGCGTTATGTGTGGTTTCCTCCGAGGCTATGGGTCCCCCTTCTTCCAGCCAGAGGTGGTACTCCCTTCCCTATTTTATATATATATATATATATATATATATATATATATATATATATATATATATATATATATATATATATATATATATATAAATATATATATGCATATTATATATATACATACATATATATATATATATATATATATATATATATATATATATATATATATATATATATATATATATATATGCGAACAAGCCTGAATGGTCCCCAGGACAATATGCTACTGAAAACTCACACCCCAGAAGTGACTCGAACCCATACTCCCAGAAGCAACGCAACTGGTATGTACAAGACGCCTTAATCCACTTGACCATCACGACCGGACATAATGAGGTGATAGCCGAGGCTATTTGAACCACCCCACCGCCGGCACTCGGATAAAATTTATAATTTTAGGAAAACTCTGCTTGTTGGGCAACTTGGAGATTACTATCCGAGTGCCGGCGGTGGGGTGGTTCAAATAGCCTCGGCTATCACCTCATTATGTCCGGTCGTGATGGTCAAGTGGATTAAGGCGTCTTGTACATACCAGTTGCGTTGCTTCTGGGAGTATGGGTTCGAGTCACTTCTGGGGTGTGAGTTTTCAGTTATATATATATATATATATATATATATATATATATATATATATATATATATATATATATATATATATATATATATATATATATATATATATGCATATTATATATATACATATATATATATATATATATATATATATATATATATATATATATATATATATATATATATATATATATATATATATATATATATATATATATATATATATATATATATATATATATATATATATATATATATATATATAATATATATATATATATATATATATATATATATATATATATATATATATATATATATATATATATATATATATATATATATTATTAAATATGACCGAAAAAGTAAGATTAATAATTCTAACACGAATTTTCTCAATCTTTCGTACATTACGCTTCACTGTTGAGGTAAATCAAAAATTAATTCTCCAAAATTAATTTTTATTTCTAGTCTGACGCGACACGAGCGCGTTTCGTAAAACTTATTACATTTTCAAAGACTTTAGTTCACAAATACACAACTGAATAGAACTTACGCATCTCCGATATTATATCTACATTTGAGTGAGGTGGAAGGGGTGATGTGGCATGTGTGGGATGTGGTTGTGTTAATGCCACATCACCCCTTCCACCTCACCCCTTCCAAAATTCGTGTTAGAATTATTAATCTTACTTTTTCGGTTATATTTAATAATATATGTCTACAGGAAAGACTGCTACCAAAATATATATATATATATATATATATATATATATATATATATATATATATATATATATATATATATATGTAGATATATGTATATATATATATATATATATATATATATATATATATATATATATATATATATATATATATATATATATATATATATAATGTGTGTGTGTGTGTGTGTTGTTGAATATGACCGGGGGGTTAGAGTAATGATTCTAACACGAATCTTCTCAATATTTCTTATGTCTTTCTTCACTGTCGACGGTAGTTGAAAAATTAACTCTCCAAAGTTCATTTTCACACTATTTGTGGTCTGACGCGTAGAAGCGTTTCGCAAGACACTTCATGCATTTTCAAAGGCAATTTTACATACTCTGTTTCATGCTTATATTCGTTTTGATAGGTGATAGGACACAATTTTTTTGGGTGAGGTGACAAGACACAAGTCAATGGGTAAAGACAATTTTACATACTCAAAACAGGAATCAATGAGTACGTTGCGTGTTTTCTCCTCTTGCTTCTGCGCTGGTTCGGGATCTTGAAGTGGGTAGAATGTAATTTTGTGTTAATTGGCTGTTGTTCATATTTTGAGATATATTTTTTAGAAATTGTTGTTATATTACTCAATATTTACTATCACTGTGTCATTTACTGTTTGTTTACGAGATGACATTGCGAAATTCATGTCATGTTTTGGATACCAGTCTGCGCCACAACGAAGGCCATGATTGTACGTATGTTGGATATTAGCACCGAGATTGTTGTGTTCGTACAAGGGTAACATCTGTCTGGTAATGATGTGTGGCAACTTTTACTTGGAAGTTATTCTTTGAGGAACGGAGCTGTAGAGAAGCTAAGCGTGGGAAATACATTGTGTGAACTTTGTAGCAATACACAGACCAGACACATTTCTTCTTTGTTGAAAATTTGGAAGTTCAACATTGAATCTCACTTATTATCTTGAATTACTATATGTCCAACCGTGTCTTGGATTATATATAACAACCTTAGGCAAGTAGGTGGATAGGACTCCCAAATTAGTAGCGAGTGTTCCATTAGTGACCTAATTTTCTATTAGGCTATTAAATTAGTGACCTAATTTATGTGCTGTAAGGAGTAAACCATCCCATGCATCAAGGTGGTGGCAAGTTGGTGGTCATCTTACTCTTGTAACAAACGTGAACTCTATTTGCTGTTCTTATAATAGAGCTTTTTTACGTGGAACAAGTTCTGAAGTGTTGACTACTTCTCTGTTATGAACAAGACGCCATAAAATTACAACATATATTGAATTAACAAAATATATCAAGTTGTGCTGCTTGGTTAAGGATCCTCGTGTTTGAGTGTCAAGGAAATAACGGCCATCAATTCCAGCGTCAATGGAGTCGACTCTTACTCTCTCATTTATGTTGTGTATACACATTATTTTACTTATATTTTTATATAAATGCCGTACTATTGTGTAAAGGTTTTCGTTGATATGCAAATGGGAAAATTATTCCAAACTAAATAAATATTACATTGGAAAATAAGATATCACCTTCAGTTGGTTGGCAGTATCCTCTGCACGACTCGTTTTTGAGCACTATCTGAGTACTCGGATATAATTAATTAAACTTCCCATAGCGATATTTAACTTGATGCTATGTAGAAATGTAATTCTTAAAAAGCAGATGACGCTGGTGTTAAATTTATGGTGCATTTGCTAAGGCTTTATACAGTATCAAATATGAGACTGGCCAGTGAGACTACAGGCGCTGGCCCACTTCGTAAGGCGGTGTGGGGGTAATGGAGGCCGAGCTGGTGCTGTTCCGACTTCGACAAATTGTAAGCCATGTCCGCGCAAGTCCTTGTAATGCTTCTGCAACTTATACACAATTCAAGTAGGATATATTTCTTTATAGTTTTGATTGATGGTGCCTGTGGTAATATGTGAACTTGCCAGGAAGCGTTGACAAAGTTCCTTGGCGTGTGAGAGTTGATGGAGGACTTTGTTTTGTTGCCGATGATTCCTTTGCTGTGTGATAAGTAGTCTCTTATTTATGTGTTGTTTATGGGTCCTGTAGCGCAGTGGTCTGCGTCCTAGGCACATAGCCGAGGGAACCGTGTTCAGGCTTGGAGCACGACAGGAAAAGTTGGGTAAGTTTCCTTTCCCCTGATGCGACTATTCACCTAGCTGTAAACTATGTACCCGGGAGTTAGACGTTTGATGCATCTAGGATAAGGTCAGTGATTGACCTAGTGGAGTCTTGATAAATCTAAATACAGGCTTACTGCCCCCGTCAAGGGAATTATAGTTCTAGACCAAATTAATTAATATGTTCTCACAAAATGTTAAACGAATAATTTTACAGTAATGAGATACCTGACGTTTATAACTAATTATCGAGTTATAAAGAGGTACCACCTCTGGTACAATTGTGAGGACCCATAGCCTTGGAGAAGGAAATAGAGAGCATTCAGATAAATTTTAGCGTTTGCCTCTCATTTCGTGAGTATTTGCCTCTGCCGCCCCCTCTTTTATGTATATATATATATATATATATATATATATATATATATATATATATATATATATATATATATATATGTGTGTGTGTGTGCGTGTGTGTATCACGAAAATAAACACGTGATTAAAAATGTGACAATGTCAGACCACGGAGGAAAATTGAAACAGGAATTTCCTTAAGTACTTTCGTATATTAATACATCTTCAGAAGGGGTGAAGATGTATTAGTATACGAAAGTACTTAAGGAAATTCATGTTTCAATTTTCCTCCGTGGTCTGACATTGCCATATATATATATATATATATATATATATATATATATATATATATATATATATATATATATAAATTAAGAGTTCCACAGATATGTGGAAATTTTAACATTATTTCATAAAGAATAAAATTAACATCTTTACAAAATATTTTTTATTAATCTTCTTGATAGAACTAATTCCATAAAAAATACAATAACTCACATATTGACTTACAGCTAGAATCTAGAAATGACAAATGGTTTTACTTATCCAAATCATTTGGCCTACTAGACTCTAAAAATATCAGTTGTGCCATTGCTGGAAACCTAGCACAAGATTAACAAAAAAATGTTGCAAGTGTCCTGAAATCATTGCACACAAATTTGTATTTTACCATCCGCTCTTAGCACCATAACTTCCACCACCAATGCTGCCACCACCAATACTGCCACCACCAATACTGCCACTGGAACTGGTGTGGCTGCCAACAAGCTCAGCACGGACTATGCTTGGTCCCTGACGTGCTGCTCTGTAATCACCACCGCCGCCGCCATGACCACCACCGCCCCCTGATGTGCTGGTGTGGCTGCCAACAAGCTCAGCACGGACTATGCTTGGTCCTTGACGTGCTGCTCTGTAATCACCACCGCCGCCGCCATGACCTCCACCGCCACCTGATGTGCTGGTGTGGCTACCAACAAGCTCAGCACGGACTATGCTTGGTCCCTGACGTGCTGCTCTGTAATCACCACCGCCGCCGCCATGACCTCCACCGCCCCCTGATGTGCTGGTGTGGCTGCCAACAAGCTCAGCACGGACTATGCTTGGTCCTTGACGTGCTGCTCTGTAATCACCACCGCCACCATGACCTCCACCGCCACCTGATGTGCTGGTGTGGCTGCCCACAAGTTGGGCACGCACTGTACCACCAGAGCTTCCACCATGACCGCCACCACCATGGCCGCCGCCACCGCTGCCATAGGCCCCTGCACCGTGGCCAAGCTCAGCCAGGATGCCACACACCATCGCCGCCATCACCACCTGCAAGCATCAGAATGGCTGAATGATCTTGTGATGTCTTTAATACACATAACATATATAAGCAAATCATTTAAGGAAAAAAAGTAGAACATTTAGAGGTTTAAAGTTCATGCTCTGTGATAATATGAAACACTTGTTTACTGAGAATTATACCACTGTATATGTAGTATTTCCATGTTAAATTGATGTATGTATGATTTATATTGTATAGTATTAAATAAAGATAAAACAAATAATGTGAAGCCGTAAAAGATTTTTGACCTCCTGGCCTATAGTACCACCAACTGTGTAACTATTTAATTGAATATGGTGTACTGGACGACATCCTAACAATTTATCAAAAATTTGCTTGTCTATTTTAAAAAATAAAGAACAATTTTATATATATTATTTTTAAGCAGCATCTCATATGAATCCATCCATGCCCTTGTGTGGCAGTGCACAATAGAAAGTTGTATTTATATATTCGTGCATTGAAACGTGTATACAGTCTAATGTAGTTTATTGTAACCATGATATATATGTGCTTCAGTCTGCAGTTTAGACCTATTGTCTTGTGTATGATCCTCTGTCCTGTTGAACATTGAATACCAGCATTATCCTCACTCTAATAAGACCTAATTGAATTCTTCAGGTTAGGCAAATTGTAATTAATTTTTTGTCAATAAAGATGTTAATAATAATCTTATTTCCTCCTTCCCACATCTTCCATCTTTCCTGCCCCTCTCCTGTTCCCCAATCTTTCCTCCCCCTCCCCACTTTCCTACCCCCCCTTCTCCATCCTTGTCCCTTCCTATCCTCATTCTCCATCTTCCCCCTTTTCCTTCTTTATATATTTTCCGTCTTTTTCTCCCCATATTCTTCCCCCTCTTCCCCGCTTCTTCCTTCTCTCAAAATATATTATCAAGAAGTATTGAAACAACTATTGGGATTTCCCAGAGAAAATATACTATTATAATCCCATATAACGTTTAGGGAAAAAACATCAAATATTTCACACTTGACGCCATGAAAATCTCATTTGGGGGGGGGTCTCAATAAATGCAATATATATATGTCTCGATAGGATTCCTAAAGCATTTAACACGAGCGTCTCTACCTAACGTCTCTCTAACGTCTAAGCGTCTCTCTAGCACGTCTCTACCATTTCCTCTGCAAAGTTGGGTGAGGCTACCCCGAAGCGTCTGGCCTCCAACCTTGGACAATCAAACATTCTTATAGATATAAATAGTATATCTATAAGAATATATCTATTATAGATATAAATAGTAATATTACCGAACCTGAGTAATATTGTATAGTCATATAATATCTAGTTTTAAAATACCTAATATAATATTTGAAATTTTATTAGCCTGATGATGGTATCAAGTGTAATTATGAAGTGAAAGTAACCACTGGAATTATAATTCTTAAATTAAATATTTACCATTCATATATACATTTTACTAAACTTAAAAATGTTATTAGCATTTTTCACTTGCATTTACTAGTAAAAGCAGCTAACATAACGCTGCACGCATTGCTACTCTTTGCCCTTCAATACGACTTTATAATCCTTTACTCTGAAGCTAATTATCATGTAAGTATTGAAGACCATGTGTGTATTTTCTGCAGGATACAATTATATGATAGTTGATAAAGTTAACGTGACGTCACTAACAAGTTCTATCTGCATGATGAGGCTTCTTTGTTTCGTGATCGTAACCCTCAGTAGTAATACATTATATGGGTTGCTATGAAGACAATTAATAACTAATGTAGTGTATGATTTAAAGTCTTATTCATTAAAGTATGATTCGTTAAGTTAACGTGTATGATTTGAAGTAGAATTCATAGAAGTTTTATTCGTTAAAATAAGGTGAAGGATTCGTTAATATATTATGTAGAATTTCAAGTCTAATTCGTTAACCTATGATTTAAAGTATTAGGGGATATATGGCAAACATATTCGCAGGGTATTCCATTTACTTTGATGATATTTAAAAAATTCTAAAATTATGCTTAAATAGTTAAAAATAATATGTGGTAATATATTTGTAGTTTGTATATGTATACGTGTATACTGGCCTATGTATACTCGGTATGAAAACCGAGCTTCAGCTCCTTGGTCTGGCTTTATAGTTGCCACTTTTTTTTATTAAATAATATACAATATAAAGATCATATGTACATCAATTTACTAGGAGAAATACTACATAATATATTTAATTTAATTTAATTCTCAGTAAAATAATTTTTTATATCATCACACAGCATGAGCCGTAAACTCCAAATGTTATACTTGATCCTGCCTCGCAAAAACTTCAATATTTTGTTTACCGAGTAACCCTCCAGCCTGCCGCCTTGCGTGCGTTGCTTATTTTCACATGTCCCTTATGTTTACTTCCCAGAGAATGTGTTAAGCACGCAGGGATACTCTCACTGAAGTTCCCCAACTTCTCAAGAGTGTATACTCAGGGAGTTTGCTTTAGTCTTGAATTATGTTTTAGTATTGAGCTATGTTTAGGACTACAGTTTACTGGCTGGTCAGTAAACTAGTATTTCGGCCCTAATAACCCTCGCGACTTATAAGCCTTAAGGCCTAACACGAAAACAAGTTGTGTGCAAGATGAATTATATTAAAAAATAAAAATAAAACATAAACCCGAGTTGCAGTAGAATTGTACAATACTCACTAGTGCATTCAGGACCCTCATATTTGGTAGCGCTTGGCTCGCTCCCTCACCAGCAGCAGTGATCAACGAGGACTGGCACTGCTCCTCCTCGTCCTCCAGGCATTTATACTGTCATTCCCTCCTGCTCTTCACATGGTTGCCAGCTACCTCAATACCAATAAATCTTTGCAATGGCTAGCACAAAAGTGCAAAAATTTGGCCCCCTGGAAAGGTGGAAAGGACCCTTATGACGAGTGGATCCCATTGTTGTTGACCAGTCGCAGCGTATGTTAAACCAACGACCTTCCACCTTCTAATGCAAAAAAACATAAACAGATTACTTCCTCGTACCCAAGATACCTTGCCTCCGTTACCTGTAACGACACAGCGTTGACCTTGTGCTGTCTCCAGTCACAAACTCACTGAGAGAGAGACCTGTGTCACATTTGTTTTACTGCGTTTTATTTTGTTATTGCATAACAGAACTCATCAGTGTAAGAGCTTTGTTAATAGCATATCACCAGTAATACAACTTACCTCAATGTAAAGTTTAGGGGGGAAATTCTATAGCCAGTCAGCACAATTGAGCCTTGACTTGTGAGCAGGCGCCAGTTGGCAGCCCTCACCTTGATGAGGGCGGATTAATGTAAACACTGACTGATCTTAGCTTCTTAATATTTATTCCTTGCTCCTTCTTTATGTGGGAGAAATAAAATATACAGGCGATGGACATTATATTTGTTGTTTTCTTCGGTATTTGACACAGAACATAGAAAGAGCTTTTAATGTGTGGTTATCTAATGAACAAATCCACAAGGGCCGTGACGAGGATTCGAACCTGCGTCCGGGAGCATCCCAGACACTGCCTTAATCGACTGAGCTACGACAGGGTAAGAGAGTTGAAACCGAAGTTCTACTGAACTTATTGGATCCCGCAGCCTCGCCGAGGCACAAACCGACAGGAGTTGTGTAAAACCCTGGTTTGTGCCTCGGAGAGGCTGCGGGATCCAGTAAGTTCAGTAGAACTTCGGTTTCAATTCTTTTACCCTGTCGTAGCTCAGTTGATTAAGGCAGTGTCTAGGATGCTCCCGGACGCAGGTTCGAATCCTCGTCACGGTCCTTGTGGATTTGTTCATTTGATGCATCACGTTAGTGTGATTTCTGTGTGTAATGTGGTTATCTAGTTTTTTTTTCAAGCCTTGAACCATCATCTTAGCTTTCAGAGGTAAACTTTGCCGGGTTGTTTATGATCTTTGATGAAACTAAAGCTTTTAAGTGACAGGTGTTATATAAGACAACCTTCACTTGAGGTTTATTTCAGTGTATATAGTGATTGCTCTACTGCAGAGTATTTATTACTATTCCTTAAGAAAGCTTTTTTACGATCAATCTTCCTTAATAGTGTGCGTGTGTGTGTATTTACTAATTGTGCCTGCAGAATCGAGCTATTAGCTCTTGGACCCCGCCTTTCTAACGGATCTATTTTTTCCTCAGTTATGTCTCCTACATATATTACTCTCTACCACACGCGAACATACATATACTTCCAGGAAGCAACCCTCAGAGTGTGAGATACTCACACTAAAACCTCCTGCTAACTTCTTACTAAGACCTCCTGCCAAGGTTGCTAACATCATCGTCCTTTGTTGCTGATGTTAGCATCTTGATTGTCCGGAAAATCATTTGATCGAGGAATCTGTTGATGGGTAAAATATGTCAACTAAAGGTTTTGTTAAGAGTTATTTTGAGCCGGTTGAATTTAGCTTAGTTTTGTATCATGAAATTGTATATAAGACCAGATTTCAGAGGACATATAGCCAGATAGCAGTAACCAGGGGGAGAGAGAGAGAGAGAGAGAGAGAGAGAGAGAGAGAGAGAGAGAGAGAGAGAGAGAGAGAGAGAGAGAGAGAGAGAGAGAGAGAGAGATGACTGCCTGAGTTGTGAAGTTGATTCCTTTCTATGATGGACCAGAGAGCTGCTACAGTACACATCAGTCTCACTTGCTTATACGCTTGTTCTTAGGTTAATTAATATTGGGTGAGTGATAAATTTCCATATATTATACTCTGATATCTTGTTTGAGTTGAAAATATATATGCAAATATCTTGTATTAATCTTTTTTTTTAGATTTCCTTTAAAAATAATTGTGTTTATTTGTTCATTGATTATTATGGAGAGATATTTTAACTCAAATTTGCCTGTGTGACATTATATATTTCGTTGTGCATTTTATTTTATTTAATTCTGAACATTATTTTATTAATTCCTTGACACTTTGTAACGTACCAGGAACTTCCCTCTGTCATGTTGACTGTACATTCCCCATGACCCCCATTACGTGTTTAATTAATTTCCATTCTCCCCATTACATTTATTTGAATTCTCCCATTACAAATGTTTTTACATTATTCCCCATTACAGCGGGAAGTTTAACTCTTGTAGCATTTCCTCTTAACTCATACCTCTTAATTCTGGGACTAATTTTGTCGCATATCTCTGGAATTTCTCTAACTTTGCCTTGATCTTGACAAGATATGGACTCTTTGCAGAAGCCACATAGTCTAGAACAGGTCTAACATTTGCCACATATGTCATGCGAGGCTCTGAATGATTCCTTGCGCAAATTTCTAAAAGCTGTTTTTATGTTGGCCGACCTAGCCAGCGCATCCTGCTGTTTTGGTAATACTTATAGTAACGATGAGGACCATAGTGTATATACCGACGCACAACGAAATTAGAAAGTAGAAATCGGCACTACTGTATTGAGTTGGACAAACTGGAAAACTATTTTCTACATATGTTGCAAAGACAAAACAAACTAACCTATCTTAACCTTCCTAGGCCAAATACACAATATCTGAAACCTAATATAGTACATATGTGTGCTCTACTAGGCCTAAGAATATTTAAGTTTTTTTTTTTGCTTCATTTTTGTTACTATAAAGTGAGTAGTACAAAGTTCTTCTATCTAATTGCTTAGAATGCCAATCTTTGTACTATGGTGCACCTAGTTACAAAAACTACTATCTAAACAGGAGAATGGGTTGACCTTTCGTCAGGATGGCCAAGTGGTCTGAGGCGCCAGACTCAAGGTAACTTCCCTTCCAATAGAGGGGCCATGGGCATTCTGGTCCCTCTCTGAGGGCGTGGGTTCGAATCCCACTCCTGACAAGGATTTTCTGGGGCCTTACAGCTGAGTGGACAGCGCTCGGCATTCGTAGTCATGAAGTTCCGGGTTCGATCCCCAGTGGAGGAGGAAACAAATGGGCAGAGTTTCTTTCACCCTGATGCCCCTGTTACCTAGCAGTAAATAGGTACCTGGGAGTTAGACAGCTGCTACAGGCTGCTTCCTGGGGGATGTGTAACAAAAAGGAGGCCTGGTCGAGGACCGGGCCGCAGGGACGCTAAGCCCCGAAATCCTCTCAAGATAACCTCATTAACCTAGCATATGTCACTGATGTGTGAATTGCTTGTTGACCACGTTCTCTGCAGGCACTAAAACGTCTTATTTTTTTTTATTCTGATTTTATCTTCTGACCATTCTAGTATGAGATGTTGTCATTACACTAGTGGATGAAGATGTGGACATCACTCTTGTCTGAGAGGATGTGGTCATCACTCTTGTGTGAGATAATGTTATACAAAATGTGAGAGGATGTAGGTATCACCCTAGTGTCCTAGTGTGAGATTATGTGGTCATAATTCTAGTATGAGACGATATGGTTATCATTTCTAGTATGAGAGGATGTGGTCATCACCTCTAATGTAAGATGATGTGGTCATCATTTCTAGTGTGAGAGGATGTGGGCATCACTTCTAGTGTGAGAAAATGTGGGCATCACTTCTAGTGTGAGAAAATGTGGGCATCACTTCTAGTGTGAGAGGATGTTGTCATCACTTCTAGTGTGATCTAAATATTTTAAACTAGATTGATTGGACATTGTCTGGCACTATGAAGATAATGGACTCATCCTCCTATCTTCAGTTTCATCACTGCCGTCTTGTCATATAATGTCAATATCAGGCATGAGTTCTCTTCTTTGTCTTCAATGAGCAGTTCAGGTTCAAGTGTGAAAACTTTCCGGAGTTTTTCGTTTAGTACTTTTGATACCATTTTGTCATTTTCAGTATATCCATTCTCTCTTATCATTCAGAAATAAAGAAATTACATTTTTACAAAATATTTTATTAATTCTCCTGATAGAACCAACTTCATAAAAGAATACAATGGTGCACATATTAATTTTAAGCTAGAAACTAGAAATGACAAATGATTATATTTATTCAAATCATTTGGCCTACTAGATTAAAAATAACAGTATAGGGCCATTGCTGAAAGCCTAGCACAAGATTAACAAAATCTTGCAAGTGTCCTGAAATCATTGCACACAAATTTGTATTTACCATCCGCTCTTAGCACCATAACTTCCACCACCAATGCTGCCACCACCAATACTGCCACCACCAACACAATGCTGCCAACAAGATCAGCACGGACTATACTGGCCACCACCAATGCTGCCACTGGAACTGGTGTGGCTGCCAACAAGATCAGCACGGACTATGCTTGGTCCTTGACGTGCTGCTCTGTAATCACCACCGCCGCCGCCATGACCACCACCGCCCCCTGATGTGCTGGTGTGGCTGCCAACGAGCTCAGCACGGACTATACTTGGTCCTTGACGTGCTGCTCTGTAATCTCCACCGCCGCCGCCATGACCACCACCGCCACCTGATGTGCTGGTGTGGCTACCAACAAGCTCAGCACGGACTATGCTTGGTCCTTGACGTGCTGCTCTGTAATCACCACCGCCACCATGACCTCCACCGCCACCTGATGTGCTGGTGTGGCTGCCAACAAGCTCAGCACGGACTATGCTTGGTCCTTGACGTGCTGCTCTGTAATCACCACCGCCACCATGATCTCCACCGCCCCCTGATGTGCTGGTGTGGCTGCCAACAAGCTCAGCACGGACTATGCTTGGTCCTTGACGTGCTGCTCTGTAATCACCACCGCCGCCGCCATGACCACCACCGCCGCCTGATGTGCTGGTGTGGCTGCCCACAAGTTGGGCACGCACTATACCACCAGAGCTTCCACCATGGCCGCCACCACCATGGCCGCCACCGCTGCCATAGGCCCCTGCACCGTGGCCAAGCTCAGCCAGGATGCCACACACCATCGCCGCCATCACCACCTGCAAGCATCAGAATGGCTGAATGATCTTGTGATGTCTTGAATCAACATAATAATATATACTGTATAAGCATATTTTATTAACGACTGAACATAAGTAATAATTTTTTATATTATATATCTGTAAAATATCTAATACAGTATAATATTTCAAAGTTTTATTTGCCTGATGTTGGAATCAAATATAATTATCACGGGAAAGTTAACACTAGAATTTATCATTTCCGAATCAAATATTTATCATTTATACATATTACATACACGTTTTAGAAAACTTAAAGTGTAATTGACATTTTTTTTATCTTTATTTAATAAAATACAATATAAATCATATATACATAAATTTTACATGGCAATACTACATTACATATACAGAATTATAATTCTCAGTAAACAAATGTTTCATTATCACAGAACATGAACTTTAAACCCCTAAATGTTATACTTATTTTTCTTTAAATGATTTACAATATTGGAGATTATATTTACATTAATTTACAAGGGAAATTATTACATTTATATATACTTTCAATTGCTCTTCATGGTGCAAGTGGCAAACAACACTGCGCACATCGTGTACTTTGCTCTTGACTGTGACTATTTTTTTATGTTTATTGAGGGTAATTATGATGTGAGGAGTTGAGAAGATACGTGTTTCAACAGGATAATATTATATAAAGGTTGATAGGATTAATGTGACTGTCACTAGAAAGTTTTATTTCTTTAGTGAGGCTTTTTTTATGGGGGATTATGACCGTGCTCAATAGTAATATTTTTTTATGAATAGTTATGAAAGGAGTTAGCAACCATTGCAAGTGTATGATTTAAGGCCTTATTCATTAAAGTAAGTTTCGTTAAAATAAGGTGTATGATTTCAAGTATTAGGAGAGATAGACAAACATTATAGGGTCTTCCGTTCACGACAGTTTAAAATATTCTAGAATTGTACTTAAATGGTTTAAAAGAATGTGGTATTATATTTGTAGTTTGTATATGTGTGGTGTGTACCGGCCTATATAAGTTTGAAAGGAGCGTTTCAGCTCCTGTGCCTAGCTTTATAGTCGCCACTCACCTAATACAATAATTTCCGACCTTTTTGCTTCTTATCACGCCTACTATGTGTCGAGTTAACCTCAACTACCTCCCCTTTCAGCTCATTCCACTTGATCAATGTTTTTATACCTAAGAAGTGCTTCCTTATATTATTATGCCATAGCACTTCTTTAAGAAGTGCTATGGCTCATCTGAGTTTCGAGTTTCCACCGACACCCTCTCGTCCTGCCCCTGTTCATACTAAACATTATGATTCTGTCAAATTTGTTAATAACTTGTAGCAAACCTTTAGATTGTCTTATATATTGCTAGTAATGAACTAACGTAAGTAGCCATTAATGAGCTGAAAGCTCCCTTGTCCTGGGCAACCTGCTCTCTTTATAGCACGTCGCATTTTGACGTATACTTTACCTAAAGCCAAAAACTGATGTATAAGAAAATTACAGGATCGCAAAATTGACAAAATATCCCATTTTATGTTCGTGGGGCCCTCGGGTTGGTTAGGTTAGGGCACTTTAGTACGACAATTTCATGACGGGATGAATGTTCGCCAGGTTTGCGTACTCCGCGGATGTCATCTTGTTAATGTGTTCCTTCGGTTATAGACGTGGTATTATACCTACTCCAAGAACGTTTAAGTTTTGTGACAATCATTTATCTTCCCGTCATCGCATACTTTCCCTGTGATTTTATCACAGTCCAATACCGCGGTGATCCAGCTTCTCTAGAGTGTACGCGTGGGTGGCCAGTATGCCAGGTTTGCGTTTAGAGAATAAAACATAAACCCGAATAATAGTAAATTGTGCGATACTTACGAGTGCATTCAGGACCCTCATGTTTGCTAAGCCCAGCTCGCTCCCACACCAGCAGCAGCAGTGGTCAACAGGGACTGACACTGCTCCTCCTCCACCAGGCATTTATACTGCCATATTCCTTTCTGCTATTCACTTGGTTGCCAGTTACTTCAATACCAATAAATGTTTACGATGGCCCCTCTGCAACAGTGCAAAATCTTGACTCTGGAAAGGTGTAAAGGACCCTTATGGCAAGTGGATCCCATTGTTGACCAGTTGCAGCGTATGTTAAACCAACGACCTTCCACCTTCTAATGCAAAAAAACATAAACAGATTACTTCCTCGTACCCAGGATACCTTGCCTCCGTTACCTGTAAAGACACAACGTTGACCTTGTGCTGTCTCCAGTCACACGCTAATTAAAAGAGACCTCTGCCAATTTTTTGTATAGCATTTTAGGTTTTTAGTATAAAACAGAACTCATTAGTCTCAGAATTTTGTTAATAACAGATCACCAGTAATATAGGTTAACTCGGTGTAAAGTTTAGGGGGGACTGCTATAGTCAGTCTGCAACATTCAACCTTGACTTGCGAGCAGGAGCCAGCTGGCAGCCCTCACCTTGATGAGGGCGGGTTAATGTAAACACTAACTGATCCTAGTCTTTTAATATACATTCCTTGCTCCTTCTTTATGTATGAGAAATTAAATATACAGAACAGCCACATTATATTTGCTGTTTTCCTTATCATATGATACAAAACAAATAGAGCTTTTAATGTATTTATCCGGTTTTTTCCTAAATCCTTGGACCGTCATCTCAGTTTACACTGGCAAACTTTGGTGAGTTGATTAAGTGTGTTGAAACCAAACCTTTTAAGTACAACCTTCACTTGAGGTTTATTTCACTGTGTATAGTGATAGGTCTCCTGCTTTCTGTGGGGTACATGCCCAACATGGTCGGATCAAGGTCTCCATAATTCAAGAGAACAATGAACCACGGTCACACACTGACTCCGATGACGATTTTGGCCCAGGCCACCAGATATGGTCTTGCCAAATACTATGATAACAAAAATGTAAAATCCATTAGTGCTGTAAAACATTGGATACTGATCTCGGTAAAAAATGTAGTAATTTCTACTCTTCATACTTTGTCCATAGTAGTAAAAGCGCGGACATTTCCAAAATATCAACACCAAGCCCGAATCCACCCCCAGCCACACTGACTTCCCTCCCGCTGGTTTTCAGGTCTAGCACCTCTTGATACTGACAGGTGATACATACTTATTCGTAATATATACTGACAGTAATAATGAAACACCTGACTCATACTAAAACAAGAGATACAGACTAACAGGTGATTCTGATACACCTGACTCATACTAAAACAAGAGATACAGACTAACAGGTGATTCTGATACACCTGACTCATACTGAAACAAGTGATACATACTAACAGGTTGGTTATACTGATTCATGTGATATGTTACACGATTTACATATTGAAAAACGTGGTAGATTTTTTTTTTCAGGGCTATTCCCGCGTGGGCCCGAAGTCTATGGCTGGCCCACTCATTGTCACTTGTTTCTGTTTTCCTTAGGCGGAGTATGAGCATTTATGACTAATGTTCTCTTCAGTAAGAGTGATAGATGCTGACACATGATATTGACACACGTGGATACATAATGCCATGTGATATTGACCCACGTGATATATACTGATAGATAATACATACTAACGCGTGATACATACTAACGAGAGATAAATACTGACGTGATAAATGCTGACACATGTGATACACTGACACAATATATACTAACACATGATACATGCTGTCACAATACACTGACGTGTGATACCTATTGACACTTGATACATGCTTTTTTAATGTTCATATGTTACAACCAATCAGATTTGCAACTGTAACCTTGTATAATCAAATATATACTGATAAAAAGGGATAGTAGGAAAAATAAATCCTCACACGTATTTAGAGTCAAACGACAACTTTTCCCCTGAATGCTCTTTATTTCCTTCCCCGAGGCTATGGGTCTCCACAATTGCACCAGAGGTGGTGCCCCTTATTTATATAAAATAATTTTTCATGAAAAATCACCCCTCTTCATCTATGAATACAGATAAATGTAATAACGGGTGATACATCTTATAAACTTCCATAGGAATGTCTTTTGTAAGAAATCCGGTAGAGGTATTGCGTTCTTGTAAGGTTCGGCCGTTCGGGAGACTTTACGTCATAGACAGACTTGCCGCGCTAGGGCCATGTGTGGGGTGGATGTTGACCTTAACATTCTCGACGAGCACTATAATGAGGTTTTCTGTTGTGTTGATGGTATTTTTTTTTTATCTCTGCTGTTCCATCTTATTGTGAAAGGATGCTGTCATTACTACTATGAGAGGATATTATCATCACTAGTATAAACTAGTGTGGTCATCACTTTAGGGTGAGATGACGTCATCACTCTTATATGAGAGGATGTGGTCATCACTTGTGTATAATTATATACATGGTACTTTAATTATATGTACAGATAATTATATAATGGGAATATTTACCTCTTTTTAAATCTTAGGGAAATTATTAATCTTCCTTAGCTTCTATGCATTTTTGTTGTTTTTATCAGTTCTATTTACATTTGTATTCTCTAAAAATGCTCTGACCTGGTTATCACGTTTGTGACCTGCTTGTATTACCCTTTTAGCATTTCAGGCTAAAATACTCTCAAGTGTCCATATCGGGCTGTTCTTTCTTTCAGGTTTGTCTTTCCCCTCTTCTCTGTGTAATTATCTAAGTGCAGTTACAGGATGAGAGCTACGCTCGTGGTGTCCCGTCTTCCCAGCACTCTTTGTCATATAACGCTTTGAAATTACTGACGGTTTTGGCCTCCACCACCTTCTCACCCAACTTGTTCCAACCGTCTACCAAATCCCTGAACTATATGTTTAACAAATCTCTAACCCTGTCCATGGAGGACGGAAAAAATGTATATGTTCTGTTTAGCATTGTTAATGTGTGGCCACGTCTGTGGTAGAAAATAATAATAATAATAATAAAACTGTTTGCTAATGTGAATTTTCTTATATTTCTTCAGCAGATTTGTTTAGTTAGTTTAAATCTATGACCTCTTGTTCTTGAAGTTCCAGGTCTCAGGAATTCGTCCCTATCAATTTTATCGATTCCCGTTACTATTTTGTTTTTAGTGATTATATCGCCTTTTTTTTCCTTCTCTCGTCCAGTTTTGGCATATTTAATGCCTCTAACCTCTCCTCGTAGCTCTTGTCCTTCAGTTCTGGGAGCCATTTAGTTGCATGGCTTTGCACCTTTTCCAGTTTGTTGATGTGCTTCTTAAGATATGAGCACCATACAACCGTTCCATATTCTAGCTTTGGCCTAACAAAAGTCGTGAACAATTTCTTTAGTATTTCGCCATTCATGTCTTTAAAAGCAATTCTGATGTTACAAAGTGTAGCATAGGCTCCTCGCACGATGTTCTTTCTGAAGTCCTCATGTGATAGTTTTCTATCTGGAACCACTACTAGATCTCTTTCTTTATCAGAATTTTTTTTTAAAGATTTCTCATATAATTTATAGGTTGTGTGGGGGTCTATGTTCTCCTATTCCACATTCCATAACATGGCATTTATTCACATTAAATTCCATTTGTCAAGTGGTGCTTCATCCACTTATTTTGTCCAGGTCTTCTTGAAGGATGTGTCAATCATCTAAGTTTCTTATCTTCCCTATTATCTTAGCATCATCAGCTATTATAGGTATGAGTTAAGTAATAATTATAATTACGAAGCATGTTTATAAAATTCTGTGTTTCATCTGGTAGATCGTTTATGTAGACAATGACCATTATCAGTGCAAGAACTGAACCCTGTGGTACTCCACTCGTGGCATTCCTTCAGTCTGATACATTGCCTCTGATTACTGCCCTCATTTTTCTGTCAGAAAAATTGTCATCCATGTTAGAAGCCTTAACGATTTATGTTGGAATTAACAGAACTGCAGGACATAGATTACTTTGAAGGGTTCAATAGTTTAAACCCAATCCCCAAGCGGGATCAAAACGGTTGGGCACGTTTCCTTTCACCTGATAGCTGTGTTCACCTATCAGTAAAATAAGTACAGTACCCGGGAATTAAGCAACTGTCGTAGGCTGCGAAATATTGGTAGTTGACCTAGTGAGGCCCTAAGTATTGGCTTCCTCTTCCCGACAACGGAATTATATCACTAGAGCGAATTAGTGAACATCTTTACATTTATACACGATTAATTTTTAAGTAATAACCTGACATGTGTACAGACTAACTCATTATTCCCGACAACGGGAATTATAATATGTTCTTAGTAACACACTCGGCCCGCGAACTTCTTAGTCACATCTCGTACAGGGCACGTTTTGATCACATCTCGTACCGGAAACTTCTTAATCACATCTCGTACAGGGCACGTTTTGATCACATCTCGTACCGGAAACTTCTTAGTCACATTTCGTGCCGGGACAATTTTGATCACATATAATACCGGGAATGTTTTGATCACATATACTACCGGGAATGTTTTGATCACATATACTACCGGGAACGTCTTCATCACATATACTACCGGGAACGTTTTGATCACATATACTACCGGGAACGTTTTGATCACATATACTACCGGGAATGTTTTGATCACATATACTACCGGGAATTTTTTGATCACATATACTACCGGGAATGTTTTGATCACATATCCTACCGGGAATGTTTTGATCACATATACTACCGGGAATGTTTTGATCACATATACTACCGGAAAACGTTTTGATCACATATCCTATCTGGAACGTCTTGATCACATATACTACCGGGAACGTCTTGATCACATATACTACGGGGAACGTTTTGAATACATATCGTACCGGGAATGTTTTGATCACATATAATACCGGGAATGTTTTGATCACATATCCTACCGGGAACGTCTTGATCACATATCTTACACATCTGAGTTGTAGAGTGCAATTCTCGAGACCTACGTCTTGGGCAGAGAGGTGCATATTTGGAAAACGACATATATTTATTGATGTGTCTGTTGCCACGATGATCTGGGGTATGTGTCTGGCGTCATGCTGGTCTGCGGGTATGTGTATGGCGTCATGCTGGTCTGGGGTATGTGTCTGGCGTCATGTTGGTCTGGGGTATGTGTCTGGCGTCATGCCGGTCTGCGGGTATGTGTCTGGCGTCATGCTGGTCTGGGGTATGTGTCTGGCGTCATGTTGGTCTGGGGTATGTGTCTGGTGTCATGCTGGTCTGGGGTATGTGTCTGGCGTCATGCTGGTCTGGGGTATGTGTCTGGCCTCATGCCGGTCTGCGGGTATGTGTCTGGCGTCATGCTGGTCTGGGGTATGTTTTACAACATGGTTGTAGAGTGTTAACGTTTTTTTATATAAATGAAGTGCAAGTCAAAGATATCACAATGTTAAGTAACAGAACATACATTTTGAGAAGCAAAAAATGGTCGTGGTATTAATAAATCGCATTACAACTACAATACTCTTTTTATTACTTTCGTCAAACGTTTTCTATACAGTACATTATCATTTTTAGCTAAAATTTTGAAATTAAGATTTTAAGTATTTGGAAAATCATTTGATTACCAGACTCTGAAAGCAACAGCACGTATGCCAGTGCGGAAACTTGCTGAAGAGTTTGCACAAACTAAATGAATACTGTATTGTTGCTGAAACTCGTTACTCAAATGGTGAATATTTGCATGTTTACCATCCGCCCTTACCACCGCCTCCGCTGCCATACCTTCTACCACCAATGCCGCCACCGCCAAAGCTACCACCGCCAAAGCTACCACCGCCAAAACTACCACCTCCAATACTGCCACCATATCCTCCACCGCCGCCACTTGTGCTGGTGTGGCTTCCGACGAGCTGGGCACGGATAATACTGGGTCCCTGGCGTCCACCTCCGTAGCCGCCACCACCGCCACCTCCGTAGCCACCGCCGCCACCACCTGTTGTACTAGTGTGGCGTCCAACGAGCTGGGCACGGATAATACTGGGTCCTTGACGTATACCTCCGTAGCCGCCGCCACCGCCACCTCCGTAGCCGCCACCACCGCCGCCACCACCTGTTGTACTTGTGTGGCGTCCAACGAGCTGGGCACGGACAATACTGGGTCCTTGACGTCCACCTCCATAGCCGCCGCCACCGCCACCTCCGTAGCCGCCGCCGCCACCACCTGTTGTACTTGTGTGGTGTCCAACGAGCTGGGCACGGACAATACTGGGTCCTTGACGTATACCTCCGTAGCCGCCACCGCCACCGCCGTGGCCTCCGCCACCATGGCCTCCGCCACCATGGCCTCCACCGCCGTGGCCTCCACCTCCACCATAACTGCCAGTGCCGCTGCCATGCCAACCGGGGGCAGGTTCAGCAAGAGCACCACACAGCAACGCCGCCGTCACCACCTGCAATGATTAGAGTGTATGGACTCGTGTTCTCTAGAATACACAAACGCACATTCATAACAAACATTGTATTAATTCTTAAAACATGGGTTTGATAACTGACAAAGCCTGCATTACATAGTATGAAAATCATGTAATATCATCATCAGCTAGAATTTAAAGCTATGATTGAGACTATAGTTTCAGTTGGAAATACTGTATTCATAATTTAGCCTCATACATTTTGCTGAATTTAAAGTAGATATTCATATTTCTATTGCATTTTAGTTTTAGATCAAGCACGACTTTATGCAAGACGTAAATTGCACTTGACTCAATCAAGAACTATAATTTGCATATAGTTCCTCTTTCTTTAATTTTCAAACAAAATACTCTGTAATTACAAAACGCTAATGAGTGAAGTGACTTTCCACTTGAAATTGACATAATGAATGGCAAATTTCACATCAGTGACTAGTTCCATCTCAATGACATATGTATTTTATGACTGACTCCAAAGTAGCAGCTACATCTCCTGTACTACCAGTACTACCATCTACCTCTGTGAAGAAGGATGTTTGCCTAAATACAGCAAGGTCTACGGTGATTTGAAAAACCCCATAACAGCTGGAGATAGTTGGTCTGTCCACTACACCTGCGACCTGACCTAAGAGATGAGACTTGGTGGCCCAAAGAAAGACCCGCCGTCGTTAGAGAGAGCCACATATTCACTATCAAGCACCTTTCGTATGCCAAAGGACATGTACACCGAAAAGTATACCCCAGCTTCTTGTATATCCACTGAAAGTTTACTTTAGCCCTGGCCTATGTTCAAAACAAAAGTATACTTGATGCTTGGTCAGTATCAAGAGTATTGTGGGTGCTGGTTGATAAGTACGTAGAGCTGCAGGCTGTGATTTTGTGGTCTATGGTCGAGGCTCCGATGGCCCAAAGTGAATGAAATGGTGACTAGCAATTTATATGACTGGGACGAGGATCACCTAACACCTTCATGCCAAAGTGGCACCCCAGGGAAGGCCTAAAATTCCAGTTGGACAGCAGATTAGTGTCTCCGAGATCCTTCTCTAATGTGGGTGCTGGTGGCTCAGTAGGTAGAGCTGTGGACTGTTCTTTTGTAGTCTGCAGTTCGAGGCTCCGATGGTCCAATATATATATATATATATATATATATATATATATATATATATATATATATATATATATATATATATATATATATGTCGTACCTAGTAGCCAGAACGCACTTCTCGGCCTACTATTCAAGGCCCGATTTGCCTAATAAGCCAAGTTTTCCTGAATTAATATATTTTCTCTAATTTTTTTCTTATGAAATGATAAAGCTACCCATTTCATTATGTGTGAAGTCAATTTTTTTTTATTGGAGTTAAAATTAACGTAGATATATGACCGAACCTAACCAACCCTACCTAACCTAACCTAACCTAACCTAACCTATCTTTATAGGTTAGGTTAGGTTAGGTAGCAGAAAAAGTTAGGTTAGGTAGGTTAGGTTGCCGAAAAACAATTAATTCATGAAAACTTGGCTTATTAGGCAAATCAGGCCTTGCATAGTAGGCTGAGAAGTGCGTTCTGGCTACTAGGTACGATATATATATATATATATATATATATATATATATATATATATATATATATATATATATATATATATATATATATATCTTATGCATAAAGATGCACAATACTCACGAATGCATTCAGGACCCTCATGATTGCTAGAGCCCAGCTCTCTCCCACACTGGCAGCAGCAGGGATCAACGGGGACTGCCACTGCTCATCCTCCTAAAGGTATTTATACTCATACATTCCTTCCTGCTCATCTTCAAGTTGCCAGCCACCTCAACATCAACATCGATTTGCAAATGAGTCAACAGGGTAGAATCGTGCCCAGGAGAAGGTTGAGAAGGCACTTATAACATGAAGATGCCATTGTTGTAAACCAATCACAGCGCATGACACATCCACGACCTTCCTCGTGCACAAAAAAAAAGACATATACTTCCTTGTTCTGAGACTGCCTCGGCTCCGTTACCTGAAATGATACAACAGTGACCTTGTACTCATCATAGGTGTGAAACATAGTTCCTATCTTTTCACTGCCTGTTTCACCCACCTCACGCACCCTAGAGTCTGACCCTTCAGCAACAAAGCAGCACATGTGAACAAGTTAAAACACTATTAATGTGTCCCAAAATGAAATCCTGATTACTAATCAGCTTGAACGTCGAATACAAAATGTAAAAATATAGACCCGGGTAAAAGGAAAGAATTGGCATTGTGACGGTGTTGCCATCTCGGGGCCTGAATGTGAACCTTTGTTTCAGCCAGCGTGTCACTAATAAATTCTGTTTATGCATATCTTGTGTTTTATAAGTTATTTAACCAAGTCCAGTGATTAGTCACGGCTTTTGTTGGACGTTTAACTTGCCGCAGATACACCTTGGTGCTATCTAAAGCCATCTTTGTTTACATGTTTTGGCTAAATTATTCTTTGTTCAAATGTTATCTTTCTACAACTGTCTATGTTCAGATGTTATCTTTCTACAGCTGTCTATGTTCAAATGTTATCTCTAAAGTATTCTTTGTTCATGTGTTATCTCTAAAGTATTCTTTGTTCATGTGTTATCTCTAAAGTATTCTTTGTTCATGTGTTATCTTTAATGTAGTCTTTGTTCAAAGGTTATTTCTAAAGAATTCTTTATTCAAATGTTATCTAAAACAACCGCTGTTTAAATGTTAGCTAAATCGGTCTTTGTTCAAATGTTATCTCGAAAGAATTCTTTGTTCAAATGTTATCCCGAAAGTATTCCTTGTTCATGTTACCTCTAAAGTATTCTTTGTTCAAACGTTATCTGTAAAGTATTCTTAGTTTAGATATTTTCTATAGAGTATTATTGTTCAAATGTTATCTGTAAAGCATTCGTTGTTCGAATGTTATCTCTAAAATATTTTTTCCAAAGTTGTATATAAAGTATTCTTTGTTCATATGTTATTTCTTAATGAGTCTTTGTTCAAATGCAATCTCTAAAGTAATCATTATATAAATGTTAACGCTAAAGTAATCTTTGTTCAAATATTATCTCTAAAGACATCTTTGTTCAAATATTATCTCTAAATTTATGCTTGTTCAAATGTTATTTAGATGAATCTTTGTTCAAATATTATGTAAACTAATATATTCAAATGTTATCCTTAAAGCAGTCTTTGTTCAAATTGTATCTGTAGGATTTTTTTTCAAATGTTATATCTAAAGAAGTCTGTTAAACTGTTAACTCTAAAGAAGTCTGTTCAAATGTTATCTCTAAAGAAGTCTGTTCAAATATTATCTCTAAAGTAATCTTTCTTCACATGTTATATTTAAGCACTTTTTGTACAAATGCTATCTAATGGAAGCTTTGTTCACATGTTATCTGTAATGGAATCATTGTGTAAATGCTTTCTCTAAGGGAATCTTTGTTCAAATATCGCTAAAAGAATCCTTGTTCAAATAGTATCTCATAATTAATCTTTGTTGAAGGAAAGAATGTTATCTGTTGTAACTGTAAAGCAGATAACGTTCTTCGCATTTAATCTCCAAATGAATCATTGTTCAGATGTTATATCTATGGAATCTTTGTTCATATGTTATATCTTAGTTTATTCATTCACACCTCTCATCTATATTATTTTTAATCTTAATTCAAATTCGATTACAGTATTCCTTTATTCCATATTATGCATTATACATCAATTCACTATTAAATTACACCTTAGAGTCATTATTTCGAGAAAACCTGCAGGAATATAGGCTTTATGGCGTTGACACAAAGTTAGTGTAATTTAATGTTGTTTTTATGCGGGATATGGAGATTAAGACGAGAGATTCAAATTCAAATACGTTTATTGAGACAATAAATACATCTCAAAGGGATAGCGTAGCTTAGGCTATTTCAACCCTCCTCTACTTCAAGTCCCTCAAGGGAAGCACAAATCTAGTGAGTATAAATTCACAAATCACAGTACAAGAATCGCATTTAACATTGCAGGTTAATATAGTAAGCACAACATATAAGTGTGACACTCTTGGGACAAAATGCTTGTAGCTCCTAAGTATTCTGTCTATCATACCATTATCACACATGCAATAAATGAGAAATAACAGAGAGCGGTAGAGTATGGTGCACGGTGTGGTGTTATGGGGTACTGTGATGATACAGTGGGGGTACAGGTTGTGATACTGTGGAATACTGGTATCGATACAGTAGGGGGGTACAGATAGGGATTCAGAGGGGCACTGGAAATGATACAGTGGGGTACAGATAATGGTAGAGTGGGGTGCAGATAGTGATGGTGGGGTGAAGGTAATGGTACAGTGTGGTACAGGTAATGATACAGTGGAGTACAGTTAATGATACAGTGCGGTGCAGGTAACGTTACAGTGTGGGTACAGGTAACGATGCAGTAAGGTACAGTGGTTCAGTAAAGTAAGTTTAAATTTTAATATATAATTCTAGTACTGTGATCGATGGGTAAACTTATGAACAAAAATGGTCTTGGTGTAAATACTGGCTTGAACAGTGTTATAGGCTTATGGAAGACGTTACCGGGTAACATAATAGACGTGGGGCCGCTGGGTTGTTTCAAGCGTAGGTTAGACAAACTATGTGAATGAGTGTGTTTTGGGTATCAAAGTAATTTAAAAGGGACAGTTGGCCCTCTGCAGATTCCTGTATTGTTATAACATGCCTTTTCTGCGGGAACTTCGGTGGTTAGGCCTAGTAAATACATTTGCAGCCGTGTATTTACTCTTTTAGTTACACATATGTATTTTAGTTACACATATGTATTTTAGTTACACATATGTGTTTTAGTTACACATATGTATTTTAGTTACACATATGTATTTTAGTTACACATATGTTACACATATGTATATACTTCATTTATTCACACATGTATTTGCTTCTGTGTATTTTTCCTTGTATTTATACACATGTATTTCATCTCGTGTGTGTGTGTGTGTGTGTGTGTGTGTGTGTGTGTGTGTGTGTGTGTGTGTGTGTGTGTGTGTGTGTGTGTGTGTGTGTGTGTGTGTGTGTGTGTGAAGTTAAAATCAGTTACAAAACAACAAAAATGTTTTCTTTCTCAAAACACGGTGGTTGTTATGTGAAACTCTTTAGCAAATTTCTATGAATTTATGGTTATTTAACCATTTAAAAAATAATTATATATTATGTTTTATTTTTTCATAAGCTTTATATTTGAATGAAGTAGTACAGTAAATTGGCACTTGAAATTTTGTGTGAGAGAGATAAAAACTCATTTAATACAAGGGATAATTACAGTAAACTGCGAGTATCCAACTGAACACTTGACAACGGTTTATAGAAGTAAGTTGCATTGCCATTAACATATTCTAGTTGGTAATTGGCTTTATTTATTTCATCCTACCATCTATCTTAAACGGTTTGCTTATTTACACTACCTTTAACCTAGATTTATAGTGGCACCGCCAGAACCAAAGCCAGGTGAAGCTGTCAACAGACTTGTAATGGTCAATAATAAGTCCCTAATATTTAACTCCATAGCTCCCACCGCTGCCACCAGTCGTGCTGGTATGCCTGCCAACAAGCTCAGCACGGATGATACTTGGACCCTGGCGCTCTCTTCTGTAGCTGTCATCAACGCTGCCAGCACTGCCACCAGTCGTGCTGGTATGCCTGCCAACAAGCTGAGCACGGATGATAGTTGGACCTTGGCGTTCTCTTCTGTAGCTGTCATTAACGCTGCCAACACTGCCACCAGTCGTGCTGGTATGCCTGCCAACAAGCTCAGCACGGATGATAGTTGGACCTTGGCGCTCTCTTCTGTAGCTGTCATTAACGCTGCCAGCACTGCCACCAGTCGTGCTGGTATGCCTGCCAACAAGCTGAGCACGGATGATAGTTGGACCTTGACGCTCTCTTCTGTAGCTGTCATCAACGCTGCCAACACTGCCACCAGTCGTGCTGGTATGCCTGCCAACAAGCTGAGCACGGATAATACCAGAGGCACCGACGTGGTCTCCGGGTCCTGCACCGTAGCTGGCTCCCCAGGTGCCACTTCCATGAGGACCAGCTGGAGAAGCCCCCACCAGCGCCGCCGTCACTAACTGCAAATGATATATTTAACGTAAGAACAGAGGTTTTTGGCTCGAGTACACACATTTAATAGGTTCATTATTTCTCAGGTATATTATTCGTAAGTGATCTAGCAGATTTTAAGTGTATTCATGTAGGATGGTAGCGATGCAAGCAGGTGGTGGTGTATGTGTTTGGTTTCTCATTGAGGAGGTTAGGCTGCTGAACTTACCGCGAGGTCCCCGTGCGCAAACCATGACCTTTCCTCAGGATGAAACTCATAGCAGTTGACTTTCTTACGGGTACTTATTTTTTGCTAGGAGAACTGAAGCATCAAGTGTAAGGAAAAAGTGGCCAAACGTCTCGTCTGGCTTGGGAATCTGACTCAGGATTCAGATTCTGATTCAAACGGACTGCAACGGTTTGTGCAGTCCGTTCTGACTGCACAAACCAGCAGCAACAGACTTTTAGAGTCAAACAATACTTTATACTGCATTGTTTTATACTGTATAAAATACTGTTTATCGAGGGATCACGGAGGCACAAATATGTCATGAGTGGACTTGAAGAGAAGAAAAGTACTTGTTTTTAAAACCATTATTGTACGCCAATGTTAATTGATCAATACTAAAGCAATCTTATAAATAAATATGTATTAAGAATGTCTTCTCACATACATAATAACATAGGATAAAAACCCACACTTTTGTATTTGTGAGTTTCATGTAAAGATTTACACCAAGTCTTTTGCACTCTCCTGAGTATTTTGTCAAGGTCTGAGTGTGTGTTTAGGACGAGACTTACACCTCAGCGACTAATGCGACTGTTACCTCGGATCCAATCCTATTATCCTTCTTGACCTGACCATGTCACCTCTGTTTCCTACTGCCGATGTACCTGAGGTGATGTCTTCTGTGGAATGTATAGGTTGGAATGTCTTCAATATCTTCATTCCACAAAAGATTTCACCGCAGGTGCATCGGCAGTCGGGAACAGAGGTGACATGGTCAGGAGGTCAAGAAGGATAAGGGAATTGGATCCGAGGTAACAGCCCAGTTATAGCCCCGCTCCTGTGCCAGGTAAGTCCACTACGGGCTCACCATAGCCCGTGCTACTTTGGAACTTTTTGTTCCCAGTAGCTGAATCTTGCACAACAAACAAAAACAGGTAACAGCCGCATTAGTCGTTGAGATGCAAGTCTCGTCCTAACCACACACTCAGGCATTGACAGAGCACTTAGGAGAGTGCGAAAGACCTGGTGTAAATCTTTACATAAAATTCACAAATACAAAAGTGTGGGTTCATAAATCATATGAACCCTCATAAATAAAACTAGTCATTAATAATTAAAAATACTTGTATTGTCCCCTTTTATTCTTCGCATTTCAAAACCTTGTTAATTCAAATGTTGTTAAACAGGTTTGAATTTGACTCGTACGAGGAGCATCTTCCCAACACGGTGCTGGTCTCCTGTCAGGGACCAGTTGTACACATAATCACTTCTCGATAAAAACTGGAAAAGTCTCCTAGTGAAACCTAATTTCCTCTTGACCAATTTTGATGCCTACTCTGTTTTTTATCCTTCTGTTAGTTTTACAATTTTCTTCCAGTTGGCTGTATCGTTTTTATTTCCACTATGCATGATTTTGCTGAAACTTTTTTGCGCGTATTAGCATGGTTGACTTCGATGTTTAAGTCATCTTGCAATTGATGTCGCTTAACATGTGTCACAAGACTGATATTTTCTCATGAGTGAGCCCTTAGACTGATACTTTCTATTGAATGAGTCTCAAGATTTACACTTCTTTATGATAGCATCAATTGTGACTTCAGTGGGTTGAAGGTAAACAAAATTAACTGGAGTGCAGTTATACAATACTCACGAGTGCATTCAGGATCCGCATGACTGCCAGAGCTCAATTCACTCCAACACCAGTAGAAGCAGTGGTCAATGAAGACTGGCACTGCTCATCCTCCTCCAGGCATTTATACCGACACATTTCTTCCCTTGTTCGCCACCTGGTTGCCAGCTACCTCAACACCAATCAAGCTTGATGAATCACAAACCATCAGAGCAGAATCGTGTCCTAAGGAAAGCCTGAAACACCTTTGTCGACGTGAGTACCGAAAATTTATTGACCAGTGATGCTCCAGCATCCCCGATGACCTTCCTGGTACAAGATAAAAAAATCATAAACAGAGTCTTGTCTTGTTTAGCTTGGCGCCACAACCTGATGGTCGCAGGTGATGGATCTTCTTCGGCGCAAGATGTTATCTATCCGTCCTCTTGTGGGCTTCCGCCTTAAAGATGACGTTCAATATGTGCATGGAGTCTTGCCTCCACTTCTTCGCCACCCTAACTACGAAATTCATAATAATGTATCTTTCTCGTATTTGGGTATATATTTAATGTGACCTCTCGTCCTGGTTCCTTCCACTAGTCACATAGCTCGTCCTGGGAAGGGATTTTGAAAATGCCTCGAGCGTCTGACATACTTTCTTTTATTTCATCGACTTACGCTTTCTGGGCATCCATGCGGCGAAGCTGCAAATATAAAGACATTACTTCAATTTACACAAATTCAATTTACACGTCTCCGTGGTGTAGTGGTAAGACACTCGCCTGGCGTTCCGCGAGCGCTATGTCATGGGTTCGTATCCTGGCCGGGGAGGATTTACTGGGCGCAATTCCTTAACTGTAGCCTCTGTTTAACGCAACAGTAAAATGTGTACTTGGATGAAAAAACGATTCTTCGCGGCAGGGGATCGTATTCCAGGGACCTGCCCGAAACGCTACGCGTACTAGTGGCTGTACAAGAATGTAACAACTCTTGTATATATCTGAAGAAAAAAAAAATTATAATTAAGCTGGGAAAAAAACTCGGGAATAATCGGGGGGACCTTTGACAAGATTCCGGCTTCCTATCCCCGATGAAACCACTAGAGAAAATGGCACTCAGGTAAATTTGAAGTCAGTAAACACAAAGAACCCATTACGGATTATGAAGATGAGAAGTTCAGCGTATATTAACTGAGAAGAGTATTTCCTCAAGGTACGCAGTCACCACTAATAATTAACTTTATTCCTTAACAATTCCTCTTCTAGATTAATGCTTACTTGTAGGCTTACGATTTGATTAACCTAAGAGTTAATATACCTTAAAGCTTTAACACCTAACATAGGAGTATACGGGATTGTGTACCAGTATATCTGGCTGTATCGCTTTCGCCAGGTGTTTATATATTGCTGTAACGCTTTCGCCAGGTGTATATTTTGCTGTATCACTTTCACCAGGGGTATATATTGCTATATTACTCATATTCAGATACAAATCTTGCTGCATCACTCATCTCAGGTGTATATCTTGCTGTATCACACATTCAGGTGTATATCTGGCCGTGTCACACACATTCAGGTATATACCTGGCTGTGTCACTCATATTAAGGTGTATATCTGGATCTGATCACTTAAATTCAGGTATATATCTACCTGTATCACTCATCCAGGTGTACATCAGGCTGTGTCACTCATATCCAGGAGTATATTTCGCTGTATCACTGATATCTAGGAGTATAGCATCATTTATATTTAGGCATATATCTGGCTGCATCACTTATCTCCAGGTGTATATTTGGCTGTATCACTTATCTGTTGTATATCTGATTGAATAACTCATCTACAAGTTTATGTCTGTCTGTAACACTCATTTCCATGTGTGTATCTCTAACTACATATCTCACCTCCAAGTGTATGTATATCTTGCTTTATCTCTCATCTCCAGATATATGTCTGGCAGCATCCTTCATCTTCTTGCACTCCCGAGGGCCTTCAAACACCCATTAACATATTTGCTCAAGCTAACTAGAAGCCCGCGCAAACATCCTTATGAAGGTAACACACCAAATGGGGAGCTTCCAGGCAATGTATGTTCGTTCACTTTACCTGCACGAAATATTATTATTTTTTTAATATAGTGATAAAAATGTTCCAAGATGATGAAGAGCTTATTAAAATGTCGATGGCGTTGTTGGCAAGGACTTCAGGTTGTCTTGCTAGTGACGAACATATAAAAAAATAATAATTCTCCAGGTAGAATTGTTATCACGGGTGATGTTCTCTGTTACAAGTGTTTGTAGACATTCTGTTCAGCTGTTTAAAAGTGTTTATAGAAATGGTGTTTCGCTTGTTTACAGACGTGTATAAAAATTAGGTTCACTTGTTTCTAGGTGTTATAGAAATTATTTTATTTTGTTAACTGTCGTGTACGTTGGAGCTAAGTCTTTTGTTAACAAGCTGTAAATTTCTAACTCACTCATGTTTTATTTAATGTTTTAAGAGTTCACGATGAACACCGTTAATGCTAAAATGGAAAGAAATTACAATGTTTATCATATTATTCTTGGCAATCTACTTTTATTAAAAAGTATACAGCAATTATACAAGACATACATGATATTGTCAGCAACCTAATTAAATTAAAAACGTTAAAATTTAATTGCATTAATATAGATAATACAACACAAGCTTGTGAATTTAAGGTCGTGAAGAAATTGTTCAAATACGGAAGTCTAACAGTGAACGAAATCGCTAACAGTTCGTGTACGGAATTTAAAGCCTAGTCGACTCGAGCAAACACGGGACAAAAACTGCCACATAGCCTAGCGAGAACAAAGATATGTACAGTCGTGGACACTCTTTGTTGGTAAGTGATTGCTCGGGCATTCTTCGTAGGAAGTAAAAAAATAACAAGTGGCAAACGCGTCAAGGATACGCATTTCAGATTGAAAAATGTTGGAATTAGATTAACGATATCAGTAAGGTCAACAAGCGCCATTGTTTCGCATTAACCTGTCCTCCCGAATGCGCCCTCATCGCATTTTGACGTTGAAATCTCCAACAAATAAAATATGATGAACTATATACCAAATATGAAATACTTCTATATAAACTTAAATAAACAAAGAAGTGAAATATAATATGGGGACCAGTTGGTATTACCATTTTGTGAATGCATTAGTACAAGTGAGAGTCTTGGGAGGGACAACTAAAACATATTTTTCATATTTACCAACTCTGAACACCAGCTAGTCTCACCCGGATAATATAACCTAACTGTAAACTCTTAATCATATTAATTTAATTTTTAATTGTTAAAACTCAATTGTTTTTAAGACCATTAAAGATTGTTGAATATGCTAACACATATGAACAAAACGTGAAAAACTACCTTTTTGATATGAAAGAAAACTATAACATAGACAAACTGGTAACGTTATAGACGTTACAAACTGACACAGGCCTGAAGGCTGTTTGACAAATGTACACAGATAATAATATTTGTTGTGGTTTTTTCATAAGATATATATATTTGTATAATTTATAGCCCAGTTAAATTTATGAGTTAACTTATTCCAATGTAAAGTTTAAAGCCGGCCATAAAACAGTGGTGGTAACCGAGCGTCTCGTGTTCACAGCCGGTGAGCAAATGACATAGTCGCTCTTAAACGCCCATCGCTGCGATCAACGCCGTGATGCTCGCCATCAATTTTATATTGATTTTTAACGTAGCAGGAAGCAAATTATTCTTACGCGGGTCATATTATATATTTTTATTTTATTTACGTCCTAACTTATACGGTGAAGACTTATAATGCCACCTACCCTGAGTCATATCACTTAATGCGTCGCATTTTTTGAGGCATAGATCAATCCCTTAAAAATAGGACATATTGGTAACAATTAAAGCACCGTAATACATCGGCCTTGAAAAGTTAGGTAGTTTGCCTAACTACCCTAGAGTCATTTAACCCTTCTCATCTTGTATCTGATAACATTATCCTTCCAGAGTCAATTTGTTGGAAACCTAAGGCTGGGGCTGGGTTCAATGACGCATTCATCAATGTTAGCCTACTGTGAACTGAAAATCGGTATTTTATCAAATATGAATTAATATTAGTGTACATTAGAATTTGTTGTATACATTAGGTTAGGTGTTTAGGTTCTGTTGGCGATTATTTATATTTAATCCGAAAGGCTATGTTCTTTCTCTCCAGCAGCAGACACCCAAAACGTATTCATCAATTTTAGCATGCTGTTCAAAATGTGATTTTTTTTAAATATAAATTAATATTATTATATATTACCATATTGTGCATATTTAGGTGTAGGTTTTGTTAGGTGTTTATGTTCTGTTGGCAATTATTTGTATTTCAACCCGTCCTCAAGTCAAGCGCGTCAAAGCGACAGCTGACTCTCAAGACGCTTCGTCCATTTTATTTTAACATACTGATGATATTAAAAAAAAAATATCGTGAATAAATTAGTATTATTATATATTAAAGTTTCATATATAATTAGGCATGCGGTAGGGCAGATGTGAATTTGCCAGTGAAGACTACTTATCACATACCTTTGTATGACTAACCATCCTGTGTGATGGGGATTTTTAGCATCACGTAGCTAGTTTTTTGACACGCTGTACTCCCCTTCATATAGTCTAGGGTAACTGCACAAATGCAGATATACCTAAATGTCTTTATAAAAAAAAGGTAGGTGTGCGTCATAGTTACAGCTCTGCTTCTTTGCCAGGTGAATTCACTATGGGCTCACCATAGCCCGTGTTCTTCAACCCGTCCTCAGACCAAGTCCTTTCCATCCAGCGGTCGACACCAGAGACGCATTCATTAATTTTAACTTGCTGTTCAATAAAAATAGTGATTTTCTCAAATATAAATAATATCATTTTATATTACCATATTGTACATATTTAGGCACTGGTTAGGTTAGGTATTTAAGTTCTGTTGGCGATTATTTGTATTTGTAGTACGCGGGTGAAGCATTTATAGCAACCCGTCCTCGACTCAAGTCCATTACATTCAGCGGTCGACCCCACAGACGCATTCATAAATTTTAACAGGCTGTTCATTCAAAACGGGAATTTTCTCAAGTATAAAGTAAT